TTTTGTTTTCATGTATTTATAATTTCTGAAAAATACAAAAATAAAATAATTTTGTGTTTAAACCGTATTATTAAATTAATTTTGTTTTTAATAAAATAAACTAATGGCAAACCTATTAAAATTATTGTGAAGTTTAAAGTCAACTAACTATACAACGATAATATATATAGTGTGTTGTTATTGTTGTTGTTTTATTAAGAGTTTGTCAAAAAAAAAAGGGACAGTCATATAATATAATAGCCGTGTGTTAGCTATTTTAAAATTAGCAAATTGTTCAGTTTGTTGGACACACCACACATAAAACGGTAGATTTAAGTAACAGCAAACTAAGTCAGGTCTAGAATTATACTAACAGTACTCCTACTCCTTGGAAATCATTTTCTGGTAATCTATAAAAACAAGTGTTTGGTTTAAAAGCAGTGAAAATCTTTTTTTTGCTAAACAGTGAAAACTATTTAGTGAATAGAAATACTGTATTTGAGTCAAAGCAATAAAAGTATCGGATCTCAAGTTTAGGAAAACTTGCAAATATCTCTTCAGATTTTTATTTAGATCCTAATGTCGAGCACTGGTATGGAAAGGATGTGAATATAACAGACTAATGGCTATAAAGATTTTAATCGTTTCAAAAAGCATTTGTTTTACCAAATTCTTATATTCAATACATTTGCATGTTTTGCTATTGAAACTATGATATGAAATCATGGTATACAGTATATAAATTTATGTTTGATATTGAAAAACATACATATATTTGATGATATGTATGTATGAATAATGTTTTTGAAAACTTTGTTGCCAAACAAATCCTAAATATTATTTTTATACTTTAAATTGGTTTTAAAACTGATTTTTGTTGTCTAACTAAAGCAATAAATGTTGTCAACCGAGTTGTCATTACTGTAATAAATTGAATTTAAACGTTAAATAACAACTTTTATCGCATTTATTATATGATATACAAAATACTGTTGACATACAGTTTATAAACGTTAGAATATTACTAATATTTTTTATTATATAAAAAATGTTATGGATTTATGAATTAATTGACAACTGATTTGATGAACAATGAATAGTGTATAATAGTAATTGAAATCTTTTAAAACTTCAAGGATTCACTATTTGGTCTCAAATGGCACTCAAAGCCATACAAGTGAGAGCCGGTATATCTTTATTATATATCGGATCCAAAGCATTAAACTATTGAAAACAGAGTTTGGTTTCAAATAACACTCAAAACAGGATTGAATGGCCAAACAATGACTACCAATAACTACTAAATGCATGTTTTGTTCACTCAAATGGCTGTAAAAGACCAACACTTAGTGAAAGATTTCAATTTGAAATTATATTTTCTTCGCATAAACTCTTATGGATATAATAAATCTATAAGAGTTTGTGTGAAAAATATGTAATTTTTTTAATTTATATATTGATATAAATATTTTAAAATGTTTTTTAGTATTTAAGGGATGTTTCTTAACCATTATTGATACATCAAGTAATACATTATTGGATTTATTATTATCATTATTTAGTTAAAATACTTTGCAAAAAAAATAAAGATTGTTAATATCTATTGAATAACTATTGTAAAGTAATGACAATTAATATATAGATATTTGAAATTTATTTCTTCAGTCAGCAAATATTGTATAATAATAGACAACTGCGGGTCTGTGGACACGTGTCGGCTCTATATATATACACGATATATACTGTATATATATTTGCCATTTTACTAATTTATTTGAAATATTAGTAAAAACAAGTTAACAATACATTGTGAGAGAAAAGTTTGAAATCAATGGAAATATATAAACATAATATAAAACATAATATATTGTGTTTATTCAGTCGTGTTTCGGAATAAATTTAATATGAAATTTACTTTTTTCATTTTGCTCTACATTTATATACAGTATATATAACTTTACAAAACTATAGCACTGGTAGTCTAAAGAAAAAAATATTTGAATTGAAAAACTATTTAACATAATTAGGAGTATTCCCATGAATGGAGACACAACTTTATAATTTGTATGTTTGTTATTATACATAATAGATTGAGATGTGTTGCTTCACTCAATTATTTGCATTATGAAAAGCAAAACAAAATTGAAATAATAATAATACAAAAAAATATATATATATAAAAACGTTGAATCATATGATGTTATATGTCTTGTGATTGACTTTTGACGACTCAATCAAATTGCAAATTAAATCATAGATTGAGCGTTTGCTATGAAATTGGCGGCAATTTTTGCCGTTTCTTTGATTCCCATATCATATTAAAGCTTACACACACTTTTAGATTTTATTTTTTAAATAAAATTTTATATCTTTATTTTATTTTATTGTAAAAGCAAAATATAATAAAATAAAATTATTGTATAAACAAGTAATTTATCTGTCATTCCCTTATATATATAGCATATGTAGTTTTTTCCTAAATTAAGGCTCAGCAGCTATCATGAGCTTCTGGTCATTGAAATCATAGCAATCATTGATCATAACTTAGACCCGCTTTTACTGTAAATAATAAATACGTTACAAATGTATATATCATGTGTTCATAATTTGTAAATTATAGAAAATCACAGAAATTATATGTGAATTATATACTATTTTCCTAATAGTATTGAGACGCTCAGGTAGTTATGTGTAAGTCCTGTCCCTCGTAATTGGTTACAACTTGTTTTTTATTTTATAATACTCTTCGCAATATATGCTTAAAATAAGTGAAAAAGAAAAGAAAGAGAGTGTTTGAAAATTTTCTTTTTTAATTTAATGTTATATACACTATATATTTATTGATACACTAAATATAAACAAATTTTATGCCAATATTCTGTTGAATGTCTTGTCTCTCAACTCATAAATATTTAAAGAATTTTTATGACAACAATTCGTTGATTATATATAAAAAGAAAATATAAATATAATATAATATAATAAAAGAAATATAAATAATATATAAAAGTTGTGAATAAACAGTAGATGGATATCTAATATATTATAAGATTGATATGACTTATATTATAGAAAATGTTGGTTCAGTTAGGTATGAGTGTCAGGTCTTGAGTCAGGGATCTCGTTATCGGGACATACATTTGCAAGCAATTTGTCACAGCATTTAACGTCTCAATAAACACTTATGGACTCAATGTATGCAATAGTTATACTATACTGAAGTCATACAAATGGCATAACAGGTGGCTATAAGTTAGTGAGTGAGAGGTCACCTTAAACTCAGGTAAGGGTTTGTTACACAGGGATTGCTATTTATTATGGGACCCGAATGTAGTGTTTGTGGTACTGTTTGGGAAGGCGTGACAATTGCTATCAATGAGTATCTATGGGTTTGTGACACATTGGGTACAAATATTTGCTTACATTACCTGACATTACCATCAATTCAATGGCTACACGATTATCGAGTGCTTTATCATTAAATAATAGTTACTGTATTTCAAGCAATAATCCAATTGTTACTTTCACTAACAAATTCAGCTATAAGTTAGGCTAAATAGTTGCTCATTATTAGCAAATAATCCGATAAATGATTACCTTTCAGACTATTGTTACCAAATATAATGAATGGCATCCTTTAACAGTCAACTAACCTGTTGTTGCTTTCGACTAATGCCAGGTGTAGTCATATCTATATATCTATACATTCATAACAACTAATATAAATAACAACAAAAATTATCACTTTTATAATGTTATGTATTGATTACATTAAAGATTAAAATCAATTAACATTAACGTTGCCTTTCCTTAAAGCTGATTACAAACTACTGTTTTGAACTCAAATATATTATTGATTTATGAAATCTCTTATTTGGTGCAAAACTAAAAAATTTGATTAATTATAAATGCTTTATCATATTATCATAAAATTGATGTGATTTTGTATACAACTAATTGCTAACAATATAAAATACAATGTACTCTATTAAAGCTGTAATAAATAAAATATAAAAATGGGTTTATTTTATGACTTTTTTCATTTTGTTTACTCATATTTTTTTTTATTTTTCTTATTTATAAATATTTTATTTCATTAATTTATGAGATTTTCTATATCAATATAATCAATATTCTTTTATTATTAAACATAAATAAAACACGTTTAATTGAAAATATATAAATTTAATAGATCATAAAAGTATTATTGTATATCATTTATAAAACAGAAATAAATTTCATTTTAATAGTTAATAAATAAAGTTTAAAATAATATATTATTATAATATTAGTTAGATATAATCACTAATAAACAAATATAATTATTAATATCATTTTCTTACATAATTTATTAACATTACATTAAAATCTCATATATTTATTCATTTTATATAATAATAATAATAATAATAATAATTCAGTAATGTATATAAATATTTATAAATTCGTATAAATTTTTAAATTCAGTAATTAATGAACAATTAATTATTTCATATGTACTTTGGTTTTGATACTGGTATTCACTTAAATTCACTTTATTATTTTAGATATAACAATTATAATTTATATATTTCATATTAAATTATTTAAATGTTAAATTAATTAAAATCCATCGTTTTATAAGATCAATAAAATTATGTAACAAAATGATATATATATATTGAAATACATTATACAAATGACTCAATTATACATTGTATTTATTTTCATAAAATAGTTTAGTCCTAAAACATAAAATAGTATATTAAAATAAAAATAATTATGAATTCATAAATTAGTAAAATATAATTCTAATGATTAGATTAAATGAATGTTTAAAACATATAATTGTATGAAAAACCAATGATCACTATATATTAATGGCAATAAATGGCACTAAATGGCAGTAAAAGGCCATTAAGTACTTGACAATTAATTACAAATTTTCACAATTTTATCAAATTGTAAATTGTTGTGCAATTATCACAAGCACTATATATCCACATTCAATGCATAATCCATTGGAAGTAAGTATTAATTATTCATTAATAATATTTTACGATACGGACGGATATAAATATAAACCTATAGAGCGCATCATATTTTATCATTAAATGTTTGATTATAATTATCACTAATAATATTTATAAAAATGTTTTAATCATAATTTTTCCATAACAGTCATAGAAATCGGTCGATAAATGATGTTATTCAAGATTTTGCATAAGAATATGTAGTTCCCTAAAACATCGACCCAACTTCCCCTGCAGTGTCTGACGCTTCAATATGAATGCCCGCACCGATAACAAGTGATTGTAACAACTCATACATTTATTGTACCTAAAAATGTTTTTAAAAGAAAAAATACAGACAAAAAATGTCATAAATAATAATATTAGTATCAATATTGTTATAAAAATATTTTTGGACAACAACTATAAAATTTCTTATATTAATAATTATCTTAAAAATGAAATATTTGTCGCACAGTTATGCACGTGTGGCCCATAACTGTCACCTCTATTTCAGTATATAAATAAAATACAAACAAAATATAAAATGAAAGTGAATTTAGTGAACAAAAATGTTTTGACTATTTTTTTCAGCAAACAATAAAAGAAAAACTATTTGTTATCCAAAAATCGTTAGTTATTTGAAAATAGAAGTTTTGATCACATTTTCATAGCATTCCTAACATAGTTAAGCTTAAAAACCACAAAAAAACTTTTTTTTTTAAATATTAGTAAAATAAACTGAATTGTTGTTAACAATTGGCAGTGAATTAAATGATAAATAACATTTTTTAATGTTATCATATGTTTGCGTATAAAACTAAAACATAATTTCTAAAATTTATTTTTATATGTCATTAACGGTTGAAAACAATATGCAGTTAAGGGTTAATATTATTGAAAAACAGTCATTAAAGCAATTATCTATTTGTTTGATTCAAGTTATGTCTAAAAGAAAATCACTTTCCATTTGCAGACATCATAACAATAATATAAAAGCAATGATTTGGCGCCAAAGTGTTTGTCTAACTGATAATAATTACAATTTACAAACTAATTAGTGGTTAAGATTAAACATTGTGGTCAACAGTCAAACAGACAAAATATATAGTTTTAGACAATAAATAGTAATCAAAGAAATATGATTTATATGTCAATCTAAGGAAACACTTATTTTGCTTACAATAACTGATATTATAGTGAAGTTCAACGATTAAAAGATAGCAAACTATAAATTGTGTTTAAATATAATAATAAAAACTGTTGAACACTAACCTATGAGACGAGAATATACAATAGCGGGTAATAAACATATTTATAAAGAAAAATAAAATATTAGTTGAATTGAAAGCTAAAGTATGGATAGAAATTAAAATGTTATGAATCACTTGAATGACTTTGTGAGGAATTTGCAATAAAATATATGATTATATATTAAAGTTATGGTTAGAGTGTTTGCACCCTTTTGACTGACTGCCGGTTTTCTACATTTAGTCCCATAAATAAAAGATAAGCAAAAAACACGATTCTTTAAGCATAAGACATACTATTCTTAATTCAAATGGTTATGTTATATGTCTTAAACCCTTAATTTATTGGTATAAATCTTGTGGTAAACACTAAGTGAATATATTTAAAAAGATTTTGATCACAACATCATCTGAAAAGGCATCAGAAGCTAAAGCAATAATAATATAAAAAATACTAATAATAATTGAAATTCATTTTATTTAATAATAAGTTTCATGTAATTGGAAACTACTATCAGTTATTAAGTATGTGATTCATAACGAGTTTTGTGAATATCTATCAAAACACTAAACGAGGAACAGTTGAACACTTATTATGAGCACAGGTAGCTTAAGTGGCTATAAATGTCTGCTAATAGCTCAACAAAGACCACTAATGTTTGAATTAAAACTCATTAAATATTGCAATCAAATGTTAAAAAGACATTTGTTTTGATATAACTCATAAAATAAAGATTAATATAAGAAATACCTCTCCTCTCTGGATATATCGACACCAATTCCTGGCGGCGCTGTTATGTTGGTTTTGATAGTCGGCGCAAATTGTTTTAGTATTAATTTAAGGGCAGCGCATCCCACAGACATATAACTATAAAAACAATCATTTTATAGTTTGAGACAAACAATAATTATTTATTATAAACACATACAATATATTTACAGCTATTATCAAACTTAAGGGCTTATTTGAACCAACAATTTACTAACTTTTAAACACTGTTAGGCATAACTTTTAGTGGCATATGTAGTGGATAACCAAATTGGCAACCAGTAGAACATAGTATATACATATATTATTGTATATAAATATATAAATTTACTTTTAAAATAAAACTTTTAACAACAACAAAATATTGTATAGAAATATTATATATTAAATATACTGTAAATTTATATTGATATACTGTATATCTAGTGAAACATACTCTAATAGTGACTGATATTGAAAGGCTATAATATTATAAAATATAATGAATTATTTTAATTGTATATCTCTTAAATAATCTTAACTTTTAAACGTTACATCATAAGTGAGACTTAAATTATCATTAAGTTTAGTCAAATGAGGGGTGGAGTGAATGAAAATGTTGTTTTAGTGAACAAGTGTTTCAATACCTCCGGAAATATTTGAGCGGCGATTGTCTTAAGACCGCCTACTATGAGATCTATTTATCATTTGATAGCTAAATGTTTTGCACTAATAATAATTGTTTGCATTATTGTTCAAAACTTTTTTTTTAAAAATCCCTAATTTTGCGATAAAAAACGTTTTGCACTATTATTAGTTTATAAAATCAAATGTGAGGCAAAAGTGCGAGTGTCTCGCATATCAAATGCCGTACAGACACTCATATTAGGGCTGAGGAGAGAACTGAGAGAGTATTGAGTGCACCGGGAGTTGAAGTCGATAGTCGACTCTCTATTAAATTCCATATGGCGTTCATATTCACTACATATTTATATAATAAGGACTCGACTGTCATCAGGCATTGCAACTCTAAGTGCCGGTAATTATATGGAACCTAACATTACTGGGAACAGCCATTCAAATATTATATAATACTATTATATTAATAGCAGTGTATACACACTATTAATAGTCGGGCTATAAAATTATTCCCAAAATTATTGCTTCAAATAATAACTTATATCTGAAAAGAAAAATAAGTTTTAACAACAATTTAAAATAAAAACCATTTAATAAAACAATGATTTAATGGATTGAGAGATGAGAATCAAGGAATTTAATGTAATTTAATGAAACCACAAATAAGTTTAATATTAAGTTTATCAAAGTTTGTTAAACCCTTACAACCCATTCATGAGTTAATGTATGGCATTCAACAATAAATGATAACAAACAAAACTAATACTATTGATAAATTGTTGTCATTTATTATATATGATATCAAACAACAAATTAAAAGCAATACATATTTTGTTGTATACATACATATGAATGTATGCATACATAACACACCCGCAAGAGATACTGTCGACTGATTTATTACCGTTTGCCTCAACCCATAATTTGTTTCAAATAATTGCCGCAATTTTCTTAATCTAAGTGCTCTACCATCACATACCCATCCACAGGCCCTAACCTGGCATTAAATATGAACGGCTCATACATACATACACACACACAACACACATATATACAACACTTAAGAAAAAACAAATGCATTCAACATTAGTTTGGGCTATATTTTGATGATCAAAATATAAGATATCATATATATGAACAAAAATGCTAAACTAGTGGTAAAAATTCATAAGAATTCAGCTATTTTTAAGAATATTGATGTAATATGTATGTACTGTTTGCGCCCGTATGCACACCAACATTGAACTACATAAGCAAAGACATGTTTGGCCATTGTTTGGACCCAATATGCGTGAGAAACGTATAGTTGTGTTACACAGAGTTTCGCCAAAAGTTTTTTTCATACCTTTTGAAAACTTATGCAAAACTGAGTGCCAAAAATCAGATGCGAGAGACTATTTAACTATCAAATGGTGAAGATTTATGGATAGTTTTAACATTATTTTGTTGCTGACTATAGTTAGCCCATTGCCAGTGAGCTCTTTGTTATGGTTCACTACATCTCATTCAATACATAACTGGGAGGTCTATTACACAGCATATAATTGAACGGAAAATACTATGACTGGAGTCGCGATAGCTCTCTATATCTATATATAAGTCACACCATTTCTCTCCTATTTTTGCCCATTTATTATCGATATTGTACTCAAAATATTATTGTTATATTTATATTATCATTTTATTTATGCTTTTATAGTCTGGGAGGAGATTGATATAGTTTAAACAGACAGGTAAAAGATCTCAATCTAACATTTATATAAGCAATACTACATATTACACAGTAATACACACACAGTTTCAAATAGCATATTCATTTCGCTTCAATAAACATATCTATAATTTTTTATATGCAAAAAAAATTATATATTATGCCTATAATCTAAATAAAAGTTTTTAAAAAATCAACAAGTAATTTTAAAATTGCTATAATATATTACTAACTAAAATATACTAATTGGATTTTAGTTTAACAAATTATCAATATAACTACTAATCTAACTATATTATATTTTTCATAGTCTATACTGTACAAAACACTTTTAAATATTTTTGATAAATGTAGGTTTTTTTTGTAATAGACCTAAAAATATAACAATAATAATAATTGCGAAATAAATAATTTTAAAAATATAAAGAATTATTTTATGTAAGCCATGTGAGCAATGATTATGCAATTCCGCTATATTTTAATAATTAATGACAATTATTTAAATTGTGAGATCTTTTTTAAAATAAAAAACAATGTCATTAATTACTTTATATTTAAAGTAACAATGAATATGTGAATGAAAAATGTTTTGATAATTGATGGCAATTACGATAATCTAGTTTTAAAAAACTTTTCTCTTTATAATAAATATCAGTTTATTATTTAATATACAGTATTTTCAAATAAGTACTCATAAGAGACATCTATTGGATGCCATTGTAATACAAATGCCACTAAAAGTTTTAAATTTGTTAATTTATTATTAAATTTATTATTTATTTTTAAAACAATTACCATATTATCAATTAAATACTTATTACAATTTAAAGTTATTAAAACAAACCTTTCATATTTGCTTTGAAGCAAATCCTGAATACAAGGCAATAATATCTGACACATGTCTAGTGTCCAAACGGCTCTGTAAAACAATTTTTATTAATATTGAAATTAGTGGTACCGGTAATCAAATCTAATAAAATATCTAACGGTTTCAAAATGATGACATTGAGTATATCGACTATCACAGACTGATCCTCCATATGAATGGCTTGTTCTAAGGCATTGAGGGAATTCTTGGCCGACCACATGGCTAGTATTATACACAAGTTCTTGCGTCGATGAGATAATACAGTGACTATTGACTTATGTCCTCTTCTTATAGCCGACATCGCCTCCGGCTCAGTCATCTCAGGTTGCGGTTGAATACCTAACCGCATAGTGTCTTGAAGATGCTTTGGTAGAAACTCATCCAAATCAAGACCAGCTGGATGATCGCGAGTTTCGGGTATCATTTCTACCGGAGCATCCAATGGTGACGGAGGAGATCGTGTTTCAGGAAAAACGATGGCTGCCTTTTGCTGGTTATGCACTCCATTTGTATTAGCAATCGGTGATACTATTGGAGTGATTATCGGTGTATGATTAGGCTTACAATTATCATTAATAACTGGTCGAACAATGGACACTGTTTCTGATGGTCGCGGATGTACCAGATTTGTGATACGATGATTGTTATGATTGGCATTAAATGAATTGTTATTATTAATATTATTATTAGTGTTGTTAATCGGGTAAATAATTGGGTTATAAGATAAATGATTCAATGATGTGGCAGATGTCGACTTTACGAAGTTATTCAAGTTGTTTTGAGTGGGTGTCACTCGTAATGGTTGCAACTGATGAGGAATCGACGGAAGAGTATCTCGAAACGTTGACTTAAGTGTATTTGTGGCCATTTCTGGAGCAACCGTTGGAATGAATGCTAATTCGGTTAAAGATCGGCCGTTGCTGACTAACGGTTGTGTTGAGCGACTCAACGGTTTTGACAATTGGGTCCCAAATGGAGATAAACTGCTTATTGTTAGATTAGGATCGCTGTGTTTTCGTTGAAAATCTATAATAAATATATATAAATATCGTTAATATTATAACTAAGATCTTGTAGTTTGCATTGCATAATAAATCCTACCCTTGTCTATGAGGGCGGGATAAAAATCCTGTGATATATGTTTAAACATTGTGGGAGGGGTTCGGCATACTGTTTATCAGTTCAATTTAAAACAAGCATTTAAAAAGATAAACAAAAAAAATATAATTGAGTGCAATTAAAATGAAATAATGAATTTTTAATTTTAAAAAAGCAAATTAAATGCGATTAAATAATTAAAATAGACGTACGCTCTCGTCTTGATTTAAATATCTCTTTATAATCTCCTAAACTCATGATCTCTGCGAGTGACGACTCGTCCCCATCCGACGTTCCCGTCTCGGCTTCATCGCTGCGGTTCGACTCAAGTGACCTAATATTTACACAAAATTAATAACATTTTATTTTACAACACTATCTATTCATTAACTTAAATAATGAAATTAAAAAGTTAAAAATCTGTTAATTAAAATTTTAACAATAAGTACGAAAAAAATGAGAGCAAAGTTTTATCACACGATTTAGCATATTATAAAAGAAACTCTTTTTTAATTTAAAGTAAAATATATGAAAATATAATAAATAAAAAACAAAACAAAATTTTATTTCTTTCTATTATTTCTTAGTTTTATCAGTTTATATATATATAAATATTATTTTACGGTAAATGTATTTATACATGTATTAAAATGTTAATTATAATACAGTATATGCAGTATACGATAGTATATAAATAAATTACTATAAATATATAAAAATATTCCTCATTTAAATTTTCAAGTTATTTGATTTTTGTTTTGTTTTACAGTCTGTTATATAAATATTAATATAATAAACTAAAACATACTAAAATAAAGTATCATATTTTACATAAAATTAATGGAAAAATATAAATTTATTATTATTATATAATAAATAAAATTTATGAAACTTGGCCTCAATTTATTATTTTGTGTAAAACTATTGTTGGTTTGTTTTTAAAATAAGTAAATAGAGGGGAATCGGTTAATACAATACAGAAAATTAAATGAAACAAAAAAATACAAACACTTATTATTATTTAAATTATAAAACTATATAAGACATACTCGAGCTGTAAATGAGAGGCACTGGTTTGGCCCAAAACAAAGTTCCTCCGTGTGCTTTGTCTGCATGGGGTTAACAAACAGTAAACATAAAAATAAACACTATTTTTACAACTAATGTCAAATAAAAGCATAACAAACAAATTAAATAATCATTAATAGCAATAAATTGTTAGAAAATAAAACAAATATAAAAATCGGTTGAAACAGACAAACCTGGAAACACTTTCTCGTGAATACATTTGTTTGGAATGAATGGCATTTCCAAACGGTTTCACTTTTTTCAAGTCTACCACATATATTGAGACATTGGTCAGCGAAAAGCCGCCGGCAATCAATTGATTGTCACAAACGGAAATGTCGCTAATTTTTCCCCAACCCATGAATACTGTGTCAAAAGTTCGCGCCGGTTCCCAACCGTATACCTGAGCAAACAATACATCATAACAAATGCCAATTACAATGAGATAAGACATTTCAATAAACAATGGATACTGACTTTTAGCACATCTCTGGCAGCACTGAAAATGGCTTTTCCGTCGGAATGAAAGATGATTTGTCTGATGGGTCCGGAGTTATTCACTGTACTCGACACCTGTTGAAAGCTCTCCAAATCCCAAAACTTGACTGTCCCGTCGGCACTTGAACTGGCCAACAAAAATTCATTTGGGTGAAAAGCTACATCAGTTACGGCACTGGTATGTTCCTTGAGCTCTGCTAGCATTTTGCCGGCTGGTAAATCCCATAACTTTAATATACAAGAAAACAACAAAACAAACCAATTAACATAGAGTTAAGAAATTTATAAAAATAACCCATTTTGGTGCTAACCTTGACTGAACCTTCATCACCACCCGATGCTAACCATCGACCATCGGGACTAAACTTAAGGCAATGAACATCCTTAGAGTGACCCTACAAATTAATATAATTATATCAATTAAAATTTGACATATATATCAATGAGCAATCATTTAAATGGCATACCTTATAGGTATACATACAACCCTTTTTCCGTATATCCCATAACTTAATATTAGTGTCAAAAGATCCGGAAGCAACAAAATCGCCGTATGGATGAAAATCAAGACATCGGATGTTTGTCTTATGTCCAGTTAATGTCCTGAGCACTGGTCAGTTAAGTTCAAAATAATTAATTATAGCGTTTGTAATAATTATATCAATTTTTATTCATACATTTGGCCGCTTCTAAGTCCCATACTTTGAGTGCTCCCGAAGCAGATCCGGCACAAACCAGGTCTTCATTTTGGCTGAATTTGGCGCATTCGACGGCTGTTGTGTGACCGGTCAAGCTCTACATACCAGTGCATACATTATCATATCATTTCATCATATCATGTCATTTATAATCTTATTATTTCATTTACATAATTGACTTTAAGTTATATCATTTAAAAATTAAATGCTATTTTTAAATTATGATTCATTTGAAAACTACTAAAATAAGTTAATTCAAAGAATAAATAAAAAAAAAGATAAACAATCAAAATACAAAAAAATCTTATAAATAGATTATCATATATTAATTATTTATATTTTATAATAAAAGGAGTAAATTATTTTTAGCAAAATCTATGAGCAGTTTGATTGTTGTAAAACCAGTTATTCAATAGATAACTCTGTAATATTCATTAAAAATGCCTAAAAAGTGTATGTTTTTATTTGTACTCAATTTTACAAAAAAAAAAAAAAAAACAGTGTATTTGTGTTAATTAAGACCAGAAAACATTTTTTAATAATAATAATGTTTAGGAAATTATTATATTATTATTATTTTAGAGGTTTTAATGAAAATTATTTACATTTGATGCTTGATACACAACAAACACACATTACATTTGAAATTATGCTATAATTAATGTTTTAGATTGTGTTACACTATTTTTTATGTTTTGCTTATATACATAATTACTTATAATAAGATGATCTTTATTTACATTTATGCAATATATTATGCATACAGTATTAACTTATATTTATTATCTATACATTTGCTTATATTAGTCGTGAGAATAAAATTAATAGACTATTAAGTATTGCATTGCGTTTCAAGAGAGATAAATAATAAGAAAAATTAAACATCATTTCCTATAATATTATTTCAGATATATATATATAAATAAGGAATTAAAATATAACAAATATAATTTATATTATCTAAATGTAATGAAACATGTGGTGTGAACATTAATCAGCGATAAATTTATATTGTTTTTATGCTTTTCAAACGCAATGACAATATATAAGCTTTTATAACGATAACGTGTGTAGCAATCTTTATGGCTATAGTTATATAAAATCAATAAAAGAGAAATTAAAAGTCATCGACCTATAGGTTAGGTCTAAAGTACTGGTAAAGTGCTGTCAGTATTTAACAGTATAATGATATACAAATAAATATTGAAATGACTGTTTGACCCATAGATCCCGGAATAACTACTTTTCTATATAAATATCCAAACAATTACATTATCAATAAATATATATTTATTTCTATATAACTGATAATACTGTATATACTTTTCTGATATTATACTGACATTATAACATCAATTTAAAACTCATTGAATACTGAATTAAATAATATCATATATTTATAAATAAAAGTCAATGATATTAATGTGATTCGTGAGCGTTGACGAGGAAAATCAAGTATTACCTATCAATTGAAGCGAAAATTTAATCATATTTTTATGTCTCTCTTAAAAAACCATAATTTTAACAAAAAAATAAATCTTAAATTCAATCGCTTTTTCTGTCAATCACTTAACACTACTATAACTAAAACTAAAAATCATTAAATATGTGCTAAAACGAGAAACACATTTGCATTATGTAACCAACGCTTCAAAAACATTACATGAAGGACAGGGACTATGAATTTCATTACAATATGATTGTGGGCTGATATTAAAGGTTAATACTTTAGATACAACAAAAAAATCAATGACAGCATAGCTTATTGTAGTTGCTTTCACATTATATACATTGCACTTGTAATCCATGTATGGATATCGGCCTCATTAGACATACACTTATATGCATCATATATAAGTAATATCGCATATTTTATTAAAGATTATATCAAATATAAATGATTGACCCAAAAATTACAATAACTTTATAAATAATAAACAGTTGTTTCAAATTCACGATTAATGGGCTAATCATTAATATAATAATAATAATATACTAATATTGAATGTTAATAATAAATAACAACAACAAAACTAAAAATAACTACAAACTAGTCATGTTATAATAGGTAAATTATGGGAATTTATTAACTTGATCATTTAATATTATTATTATAAACTACAACATGATTTAAACAAAAAATAAATGCTAAATAACTTGTTATTGAAAAGTTATTATCAATGTATAACTACTAACTAACTAACTGTGTGTATATATATACAGTATATACTGTAGTGAACAATAAGACAATGGATATAAATTTTATACAAACCATAATACAGTTATGTTTGCCAATAGCCCATAGGTTGACCTTTTTGTCGTGACCACCCGTAACCATAACCCGACCCGACTTTTGTCCCAATGCCAGACACCCGACACTCGCCCCGTGGGCCACAAACTCTTCCACTTTATTCATTCAACTCTATTTGTTGTTACAATTATTTATTATTATTGTTTCAAATAATTATTTAAACATTTTATATATCATTTAATTTTTTAGCACATTTGACACTTTTTTAAATATCATATTCACATTATGTATGAAAATTTAATAGTTAAATGAATTAATCAATTATTGATTGTTTAGTGGTTTGAAATGACAATTGTTTTTTTAGTTTAGTTTCGTTGAACAACAATGTCATCAAACCATTGCTGGCTTACAACTGATTGATTTTGAGTTTATAGTAACTATGATAACATATACTGTATGACCACATAGTCATTGCTATAACATTATTATAGTCTAAGTCATAGAGTCTATGCACTGCAATACCTGACTATTTCTAATACCTGTACCTTAACTATCAAATTATTATACAATACTTTATTAAACTAAACATAAATTATTATACAGTATTGTAGTCGTGGGTCGAAACATAAATGATGTCAAAACTTTGTTTAACTTTGAAAAGTTTGTATATTTTATTAGATATACCAAACAACCAGATAATCCACAAAACATACCATACTATCCATTAATGGCATACAGTTTTATTCATCTAATAAAACAATTTTTATAAATACTGTCAAATCATTCAAACTAATTGATATCAATTTATTTCTAATTGTTAATATATATTAATAAACATATATTGTATTAATATATAAAGTTTGGTAATAGTTGTGCAGTAGTTGACAACAATCTTTAAAAAACATCTTATCTTTGATTTTAAACAAAAAAAAACATTTACCACAAGTTGTCAATTAAGTTACAAAAGTTAATCCCCTACTAAATCAATGACTCATTGGTATTGTCATTGACCATCAATTTTTACTAATATATTCATATTATATACATTTATAAATTTATATTATTTAATGTTATAATTTTGGGGCTTTTGTAATTATTTGAATTATTTGTTATTAAAATTGTATAAATTATTAAAATTTTATGTCATATAGAAATCTTTTTTAAACTTTTGAAAACAAACAAAAATATGTAATCTAATTCTTATTTGTTTTATTTCTAATAATAAATTCATTCATATTTGTCAACCGATATGTTATTATGATTTTGTTTGACATAAAGTTATTAATATGTTTGTCTACATATATAAATTTACAGTACATTTGTATACTACTGTACACTGTATAATAATAATAATAAATAATGTAATAATTATTTTTTGTATATATATAAAATTTTGTATGCATAATATTATTTAATACTGTATATAATAAATCAATGTTCATTTATATATTTTGCCGGAATCTAACAGCCCTACTGTACAGTACTGTAAATGTATTGACCATTAGATTGCATTGTAATAGACATAGTTTATGTCAATCACATCATAGACTGATTGCATAATAACAGCTGATTTGCATGACTTGTGTTGACTTAAAGTTTTGGTTATATTATACAGTAATGAGAAACTGTATAACAATATTAAAGTGCAATACTTTGTATGTTTTGAATATTGAAATGACAACACATTTGACAACAATTAGTAAACAGTGTTAACTGTCTTTCACTTAATGTATATGTAATTGATTTTTCATATAATATAATCACTTGTTTTCACTCCAATTAACTATCATTTGTTCACTACTTTTGTTTTAATTGTTAATTCATTGCAATCATTATAAACCATAATAACAGTGAAACTGTAAATAATTTTATCAAATACTGTATATTGAGAACAAAACTAAACTTATTTTTTTATTTCACTTATTTTCACTTTAAAATTGTTTTGTGAGATATTTTCATAAATTGATTTCAACGATACACTTGATTTAAATTATCTGTGAATAATTTGAATTATAAAAAACACAATAACTAATAGTAATAATAGTGTATTATTATTATTATTATTATTATTATTATTATTAGTATACATTAAAGTTTTTTTTATTGGTATAACATTGAAGTTTAATTTATGTGAAATTATAATTTATTTTAATTTGAAATACACCACAAAAAAATTTACACATTTTTTACAACTTGTTATTAGCCCTAAAACTTACATTACTAGACATTTAAAATAATTATTTTCATATTATTGACCTAAAGTTAGTGATAGAGAAAATAAAGTGTTTTTATTGCAAATATTTGTAAATTTTTAGTTTAAATATAAATTTTAATTGACTGAAAAAACTAAACAAACAATGAAATTGGTATCAAATTTGGGAAATTTGTTGATTCAAAGAAAGTTATCATTAAATCAATTATTAAGTATTGCCTGTAAGTCATGTGGAGTCGACTATATTCAGGGACAGGAGTTCAACAAAACGAGACAATACTTCTATTATATTGATCACAACGGAATGGTATTGAAGTTAATTATATTATTTATTGGATATAAATATATACACCAATTATATTACAATTTTATAATTTTATAATAATATTTAAATATATTATTATTATTAGCATATTTATACATATTTACTATTCCTTATATTTCATTTATATATATAGTAATATATAAAATTTATCTTATTTTTATTTGCCTAATTTTAAAGTAAAAATAGCTTTATAACTATATAATTTTTTCAAATCAATTTTATTGATAAATTATATTGAATTTAAAATATCTTATAATATAAGTTATAATAATAACAATAATGATAATCTTAAAGAGCTATTATTATTGATATTGAATTGAATTGAATGTTAAAATCATTGAATCGAATCATATGAAAGATGTTATACTATTTTGTGCTAAATATGAGTGTTTGAACCAAATCTTTTAAATTATTTCTTATATTGTTTTTTATTAAAATTTTTTAAATATATTATTTTTAGAGGAATTTTTCTAATATACTTTTATTTGTCTAATAAAAATAGTTAATGATCTTTTTTTATATAAAAATTATTATTTCAATTGTATACCCATTAAACATAAAAAATTATATAATTTTTTCTCATTAAAAGCTGTTTTTAGACGACTCTCGTATGAAAAACTTCACGTCTTGTTTCAAAGACAAACAATTTTTGCAATTTTTCTTTAAGAGGATAGCCATCAATAAGACGGGACAGTATGAACATGACTTTCCTTATGTCTCGTTGTGCGGCAGAGAAACCAATTATATTCGTATGGATTTTAATTTTTTACTAAATATTTATAGATTAACTGTATTTTAATGTTTTTGTGTCATTAAGCTTTCAAAAACTAAAGATATAATATCTAAAGGTTTAACTTGAGTTACATTTTTTTATATTGATTTGATGTCCTGTTTTTGTCTAAAATGATATAATTTTTTTTAATAATATAACAATACATACAATAGTAGTTTATATTACTATACTATTTTAAATGAAACCAACACGTGAACCCAAATAAAAATCAATGAAATTACTAAAATATTATATTATTTGTTACTAATAATAAAATATATGTATTTTTTGTTTGTAATCACTATTTAATTTAATATAGGTTGCGATGATTTGCCAATAGTTTTTACGCATATAATTACAAAGGATGACATCGATGTTTTATCTTATGGTTATACCGATGACCTCTTAACGGTTCCCTTTGAACCACAAACTCTTTACATGAAAATCGATTTTGGTATTGATGTGAATGAAACTGAAGGTCGCATATATCACAAATCAATGGATAAATTAGGAGGAATTGGTCTGATTAGGTCAGCTCTTGCTCTTGGAATTAGCAAACATTTCCAATTCAATGATAATAGCAAATCTCCGACACATTTCGTATGGAAGGAAAAGACATATGAGTTAACCAATGAATTAAAATCTAAATTTAAATAATATGATACAACAATACTCATAAATATTATACTTTTATTTGTATAATATCGTTATAATTTGATAAATCATCGTTTTTATATTAATAACTTTTATAATTATAATATAATATTATGTAATTTATATATATATAAATTCAAAAATAAGTTGTTTATAGGTTTAACTTTTTAATATCTAATGAATTAAAGTCATGTCTTAATCTAAGCGCTTGTTTGACTTCGTTTGGAGTTAACCTCCAAGGAGTTGATAAACCAGAATCACTTGAACTCGGATTTAAATATTCATTGATTTCTTCGACATTTTCCAAATTTAAAATTATAGAAATGTGTTTAAGTTTTGAAAATTTATCGCGTATTGACCACGTGGTGGCACCGGTCAAATAGTTTATTATTGCCCGCAATTCACGATCAAATTGAAAGCCTCCCAACTGTTAACAAATCAATTATCAGTATTAAGTAAACAATTTATTGATAGTAATATAATTAATGATTTTTCATTTGTAAATACCTTATTATAAGAACATTTGAGAACCGCATCACTCAATCTTTGAATCAATTCTGTAGAGAAAAGACTGAGAAGAGTGTCGCTATTGTTTTGAGTCAAACTATCTTTAAATGATTTAACAAAAGTGTTGAGACTTATAATAAATGTTTGCATAAAAGGTCGCAAACCATCTGTTGTCTCAAAACCAATCAACTCTTCTTCACTGAGAATATGATTATAAGAGATGAAAGCGTCGATCCATATCTTAATTCTTGGTTTCAACACTGATGAACACAGTTGTCCCAAACCGGATGTTATAATTGAATTGAATCGTCCGCTTAGAGCTACCATATCTGATAAACAGCTCTCAAGCTTTTCGTTTTGATGTTTCTCAGCGATTGTCGATTTCTTGACGTCTTCTGAAATCGTAGTCTTAAGTGTTTTGACGTATTCACAAGCGGTGTCCAAATTATTTAATGAGCTCAAGAACAATGTCTTTGCGTTCTCCACATCACTGGACGTTTGTAGATATCTTCCGGCCTGAAGTGCATTATAGGCCTGACTCAAGTCAAGTGCTGCTGCGGCACCAGATATAGTGCTCGGGTATCCATACCTTAACCTCTCATTCATAGAATCGCAAAAAGATGTTTCCAATATTGAAACAGAATGGTTAATAACAGCACAAACAACATCAACACTTCCACCCGATAGAGCTCTCTTAATACACTTCTTGATAATAAAGAAGACATCGTCTAACATACTAGAAGTGAGAGCACCGGACGTTTCCACGCAATCCAATTGAATAGCTTTAAGAGTCGACTCTCTAATGAAATATTCTTCTATCAAAACATAAATACCATTCAATTCATGTATTGAATGACTTAAATCACAGTTTCTTAAGATTGAATCCATTTGCTGAAGTCGTTCCCGCCTTTCATTTTGGTCATCAGGTTTGACACTTGTCTCAGGAAAAGCTACTTCAATATCACTTTTGGACCGCTTTGTTATAAATCGCAAATACATTTCGCTTCTATTATTAAGTATTATAATATCAGACAACAGTTGATCCAAATCTCTGGGATCCACTTTAGTTGACGTTTGATAACTAGAACTGGCTTTCAATGATTTGGTCACTAAAGTGATAACTTGTGGTAAATTTTTCTTAACCTTAAAATCATCAATAATTCTTTTGCTGACGCGATCGCATTCTTTTTGTAAGATATCTACAACTGTGACCAACTTTCCCGGTCCGTAATAGGTCTCAACCAGCGGTTGGTGAATGTCTATAGTCTTAGCAATGCATTCATATAATTGCGTTAATTTGTCTGAATGTGTGGCTGAAGATTGATTTGAATTGTTTTTGTTCAGACATTTTTCATTGACTTTAGTACACAAATAGTTGGAAAACTTTTTAAGACCTTCAGAGTGTTGATTCAAAAGTGGAAATATTTTAAAGAAGCGCTCGACTGAAGCCACGTCATCATCACTAACGGCTTCGTCAAACCTCTTCATCACAATATTCTTCAGTTTGACCTCTGCTTCATGTAATCGTTGAAATGCTTCATCCATTGAAGAGGCATTCATTTCATTGTTAGTCAGCGAACTTGCGGACAGTTCTTGAGTTTCGGCAGACTTTCTAAGAATCGATTCATCCATAGACAAGAACCGATGTATGTGTGCGGCCGCCTGTTCGTAGTTTTCGGTGGACAAAGCTTTCTGTATGCCATCCGTACAAAACTTAAGATCCAATATGTCTTCAATGCGCTGAAGACATTGAGTCACTCGTGTTTTGGCCAAATCCAGTCGTCGCACTTTATACGAGACACTATCGGCCAACGATGACGTAAATTGTATGAGTGATGACAACTGTTTGGCGTCGCTCTCAATCAAAGACATATTTGGCATATCTTTGCGAAGTCGAGCCATCGATGACTCCAACTGTTTGTCGTCTGACAGCAAATCATTGATCTGTTTATTGACATCAGTCTCTTCAGCACACAATCGGTCGTATGCTTTGATGACATCGTCGAGTGTGGACAGAGTGCGGATATCAACCAATTGATCCATTTATGACAGTCAAGTGATACCCAAACAAACATATGATATATTTATTTGATACACGTCTTCATCAATGACCACATAATATATGACGTGATTAGTGTTGAGACCCATCTCTACAATCACTACAATAGACTGACTTTAGATATGAAAGTGAAGTCAAAGTAAAGCACATGTCGTGTCCTGTCTTTGCTTTTTAGTACTCAATCTCTTCATTATCTTTCACTTATGTCTTCAATTTTGATCATTAAGTTAATAATATAATCACCAATTGGTGACTAAAATCAAATGGTAAGCGTATTATTGTCTTGTAGTAAATATTTTAATTAATTTGTCTTTAAATTACTAAACCATTGATTGATTGGCGGCTTTTGGTCGCCATTTGGTAATTGATTTGAATGTATATTAAAGACATGATTTGATCACAAAGTGATGATTATTTGTTCTCATCATAAGTTGATTTATTGATGAATGAATGTCCTCTAAGAAGTACTGATTGTGTTAAACCAATTAAACAACAATTAATACATTAATTGAATAAAGAGATTGCATTGTCTTGAAATCTAATGATATTTTATGATATCTTCAAACAGATCTAATTGTCGGACTTTAGTCTAATTGACTAAAAAATATGTATTTATATAATCTAACACTTCAGCGGTCGTCAGGCATTGTCTGTGCAGTTCACGGAAGTTTTGCCGGAACTAAACAACAGGAAATAGCTGTCGCCAGAGGAAAGGTGTTGGAACTGATCCGACCCGATGTCAATACCGGCAAAATTCACATCTTATTGTCGGTTGAAGTGTTTGGTATAATCCGATCAATGCTTGCCTTTCGTTTGACCGGTGGCTCCAAAGATTATCTTGTAATTGGATCAGATTCAGGACGTATTGTTATTTTGGAGTATTTGCCAAATAAAAATGTCTTCGATAAGGTGTGTATAAGATATTGTTAAGTTGTTAACTTCAGAAAATGATGATAAACTCGTCTGTCCACTGAATGACAGTGAGGACAACACTTTCTTTACCTCAATTTATCTGATTTAATGATATGAAGTTATAGTGATATTTAGGTTTATTTATATTACCGATAAATTATATATTAATTTTTATGTATTATATATATCATTGATGATAAACAGGTCCATCAGGAAACGTTTGGTAAGAGTGGTTGTCGACGTATAGTTCCCGGACAATACTTGGCTACTGATCCAAAAGGAAGGGCTGTTATGATTAGTAAGTTTTTTTTAATTATATTTAAGTTTGAGTTTATTAATGACGGATTTATTGTCTTAAACTATAGGTTCCGTAGAGAAGCAAAAGTTAGTATATATTCTTAATCGAGACGCCAGCGCACGACTGACTATATCCTCACCACTAGAGGCACACAAATCAAATACATTTGTTTTTCATTCGGTTGGCATTGATGTGGGCTTTGAGAACCCTATGTTTGCCTGTCTTGAGATGGATTACGAAGAAGCAGATAGCGATCCTACCGGCGAAGCGGCACAACTGACGCAACAGACGTTAACTTTCTATGAGTTGGATTTGGGTCTCAATCATGTGGTTCGTAAATACAGTGAACCTCTTGAAGAACACGCAAACTTTCTAATTACAGTTCCCGGAGGTACTGAAGGTCCGTCTGGCGTTCTTATCTGTTCCGAGAATTACGTGACGTATAAGAATTTTGGAGATCAACCGGATATAAGATGTCCTATACCTCGTCGTCGTAACGATTTAGATGATCCCGAAAGGGGAATGATATTTGTCTGCTCTGCCACTCACAAGACTAAGTCAATGTTTTTCTTTTTGGTTCAGACAGAACAGGGAGATGTTTTCAAAATAACACTCGAAACCGATGAAGATATGGTGACTGAAATTAAACTTAAATACTTTGATACCGTTCCTGTTTCTGCCAGTCTTTGTGTATTAAAGACTGGATTTCTTTTTGTTGGTTCAGAGTTTGGCAATCATTATCTCTACCAAATCGCACATTTAGGTGATGATGACGACGAACCAGAGTTCAGTAGTTCTATGCCTTTAGGTGAAGGCGAGACATTCTTTTTTTCTCCCCGTCCGCTAAAAAATTTAGTATTAGTCGACGAAACAGAATCTTTGTCACCAATAATGCACTGTCAGATTGCTGATGTGGCCAATGAAGACACTCCTCAAGTTTTAGCTGCTTGTGGTAGAGGTCCGAGATCGACATTACGGGTATTGAGACACGGATTGGAAGTGTCAGAAATGGCTGTTTCAGAACTACCCGGTATTCCGAACGCTGTCTGGACAGTCAAAAAGCGAGCCGACGATGACTTTGATTCTTATATTGTCGTCTCATTTATTAATGCAACACTTGTGCTGTCAATTGGAGAAACTGTTGAAGAAATAACAGATTCAGGATTTTTAGGAACTACACCAACGCTTTCGTGCGCACAGATCGGTGACGACGCACTCGTCCAGATATATCCCGACGGCATTCGTCACATTAGAGCTGATAAGAGAGTCAATGAATGGCGAACTCCCGGCAAAAAGCATATCACGAGATGTGCGATAAATCATAGACAAGTTGTCATTGCTTTAACTGGCGGTGAAATTGTCTACTTTGAAATGGATATTAGCGGACAATTGAATGAATATACCGATAGAAAAGACATGAATTGTGATGTCATTTGTATGGCTTTGGGTGAAGTTCCGTCTGGAGAACAGAGATCCAGATTTTTGGCGGTTGGTTTGTCGGATAATACAGTCAGAATTATATCATTAGATCCAACGGTAAGTTTTACAGTAAAATGTTTACCATTTTTAAAAATTTAACTTATGATGACTTTAACCGTGTTTCAACTGAATTAATGCTGAACTTATTTTTTTGTCTGATTTTTTAAAATTTTATTTTTATTTATTTATTATTATTTATTGCTAATACAGATAATTTAAATAATAATTTTTATAGGAATGTTTGTCTCCTTTATCAATGCAAGCATTACCCGCAACTCCTGAGTCATTATGTATTGTCGAAATGGGAGCTAAAACTGATGGCAAAGCAACAGGCCGTCTGTATCTTAATGTTGGTCTTCAAAATGGTGTGCATTTGAGGACAGTTCTCGATGAGGTTACGGGAGACTTATCTGATACCCGAACTCGATATCTGGGAACGCGACCAATCAAACTATTTCGGGTACAAATGCAAGGAAGTGAAGCACTTCTGGCAATGTCGAGTCGTTCGTGGCTCTGTTATTACCATCAAAATCGATTCCATTTAACGCCATTGTCTTATGAAATGTTGGAATACGCTTCTGGTTTCTCATCAGAACAATGTCCTGAAGGCATAGTTGCCATCTCAGGTAATACATTGAGAATTTTGGCGCTCGAGAAGTTGGGAGCAGTTTTCAATCAACAAACCATTCCTCTTGAATACACTCCTAGAAAATTTGCAATACATCCTGAAAGCGGTTATTTGATAATCATTGAAACTGAACACAACGCTTATTCACAGAAAAATAAACGAATCCGAAAACAAGAGATGGCAGAGGAAATGGTAGAAGCGGCAGGTGATGATGAACAGGAACAGGCGGCTGAAATGGCAGCTGCTTTTCTCAGTGAAGATCTACCAGAAAGTATGTTCGGAGCCCCGAAGCCTGGTCTGGGACATTGGGCGTCTATTATACGAATACTTGATCCCATTAGTGGACAAACACTTCATAAAATAGAGTTGGAACAAAATGAAGCCGCTTTTAGCATTGCATTGTGTCGATTCATTGGACAGGGAGACGTGCCATTCATATTAGTCGGTGTCGCCAAAGATCTTCATTTAAATCCTCGTGAATGTAATGGAGGTACTATTCATACCTATAGGCTCGTAGATGAAGGTAAACGTCTTGAATTGGCTCACATAACACCTGTTGAAGACGTACCACATGCTATCTGCCCTTTTCAAGGAAGAGTTGTCATAGGAGTGGGAAAATTGTTGAGAATCTATGATTTGGGAAAAAAGAAATTATTGAGAAAATGTGAGAATAAGACTATAAATAATATGATTGTTGTTATCAGTGCGATGGGAAGTCGTTTATATGTTGGAGACGTACAGGAAAGCTATTATTTTGTAAGATATAAACGATCCGAAAATCAATTAATTGTTTTCGCTGATGACTCGATTCCTCGTTGGGTTACATCTATGTGTGTATTAGACTACGACACACTCGCCGGTGCCGATAAGTTTGGCAATGTTGTAGTCATACGTTTACCGCAAGGTATTAACGATGAGGTGGATGAAGATCCAACTGGTGTCAAGTCATTATGGGACAGAGGATGGTTAGGAGGTGCCTCCCAAAAGGCTGATATATTGTGTAACTTTCATGTCGGAGAAATAATTTTATCGATGCAAAGGGCAACTCTGATTCCGGGCTTATCGGAAGCGCTGATTTATACTACTATTTCGGGCACTATTGGTGTTTTAGTGCCGTTTACATCACACGAAGATCATGATTTTTTCACACATTTAGAAATGCATATGCGCTCTGAAAACGGACCGTTATGTGGAAGGGATCACCTCTCATTCAGATCATACTATTATCCGGTCAAAAATGTCATCGATGGCGATCTCTGCGAACAATTTAATTCAATCGATGCACCGAAACAAAAGAGTATTGCCGAAGATATGGATAGAATTCCAGCTGAGGTTTGGTTCATATATTGATATATTTTTTATACAAACTAATCAAATGTCCGTTTTTAGGTATCAAAGAAATTAGAGGACATTAGAACTCAATACGCCTTTTAATTCATATGTTTATTGATTATATAACACATTAATGTACAAAAATGTAAGTATTTTTTATAACTTTAAATTTATAAATGAATTAGCTTTACTGTCGATCACATAATAAAAGGTTAATAAATAATAATTTAGAATTTGTTAAACAAAAACATTGTAACAAAATATATATATATATATACAGTATTTGTCATATATTTTCCGTTCCTATATATATATATATTTTTAATCAAAGCTAAACCTTGATTTGACTTTTAATTTGATATCAATAAATAAATCTACAATTAATGACTGATTTATTGATACATTAAGTAATTTTTTAATTTTGTTGGCAACGGTAGGAAAGGAATAACTTTTGGTGACCGGATTGTGGCCAGTATTGCATTACGACAGGCGCTCTTCAATGACGATATGCCGTACAGCTGAACGATTCGCACCTGTTTTGTCGTTCCGTATATGTCTACAACTAATTCATTGAAATATATTTATTAATCATTTTTAAAATTTGTATAATTTTTTTATAAACGAAACAAATCATATGTAAATAAAATCAAAAGTAATATAAAAATATAAACCTGCAAACAGTGGACCCTTTCTATATGGTATATCTTTGGCATAAATACCGTGATCTTCACCATTAAAAATGAAATGCATTTCCGCCCGATCACCGGTCACGGCATACATGACACCCACTTTACTGCCGACATCGGTTGGCAGGTATGCCATATTGGCTGTCGAGTCGTCACTAGAGTTGGTGTCTAAACTGCTCGAGTCTTCGCCGTTGACGTTGTGATAGTATATATGATTGACAAGACTTGACTGAGAATTACTGGGAGAAATAGTTGATGTCGAGGGCATCAGTGAGTCGTAAACAAATTGGTCACCATTTGCTTGATTGACAAATGATCGCTCAAATGGTGATTCATCCATACTATCTGTTGTCATATTACTTCTGATGGCCGGTCGTAACAGATATCGAGGAATAATGCCACGACTCGTACGGATTTGTTCGCCATTTCCTAAGATTGATGTCTCTGAATGTCTGCGTCTTTGTGTGCTACGATGTCTTTGTCTTCTTTGGCCATTTCGGTGATTATGATTTGTCTGTTGTGTGTCATCTGTCTCATTGTACTCAATCCGATGATCACTCATAGTGTCGGTAATCTCCGAGTTATTAGGAATGGCGAAGACCCACGAGTGGCCGTGATTTTGGAGATCAGGCAACGCGTATTGCGGAAGTTGAAAGTGTGACGACGGATCCAATTGGGTTAGACCTAACCGCATGTGTCCCGACCATCCACTCTCATTCCTCTCGATCTCAATCAAGAAGATCTCATTGGGAAGTAATGGCTTTTCGCTGAAAGCAATTCCGTGAGCGAAACTGGCCTTACGGTAGGCCACGACTGAGTCGTCCAATAAGATTATGTTCTGCCCGTGATATGAGTGGAACCGAGTCAATGGCAAAGACATAGACATCACACACAACAACAACAACAACAACACTCACATCTGATTGTCCGTCACTATAACACTGACACTAAATACTATTGTATTTAACAAACAATCAAATTATATAATAATATGAATATTAATGTAATATTAATAGTAAACAATCACTCATTCAGTTAATGCTATCATAAATAGCGTTACTTAAAGTCCATTGACAGACAACTTATTGAATGTAAACTTTTTATTGTTTTTTTTCTGTACTCTAACTAATATAATATTATTATTTGCAAAATAATTGCAATAGTTTTGTTCAATATGTGAACAATATTTTTAAAATTTAATATTTAATAAATTATAAATGTCTACACTTTTACAACACATACACAAACTTTATATTAATATTATTTTTTTTGTTTATTAATATATTACAGAATATTTTTATACACTAATATATCATTTTTATGAAAATAGTAAATTTCTTATAAGTTTACAGTCAGTAATATAGAGATATAATAAAAATCATTTATAATTATTTATATTATGTTATCTCATTGTTTATTCATTTTGATTAAAATTTTTATAGATTATTACATTATGTAGTAATAATACTGTAATAAGAATAAAATATGTCTAATAATTAAATAGTTTAAGCAATTTACACGTTATATGATTTTTAAATTATTAATATATAATTTATTTGTTTTATATGACCCGTATAACTGACCCAATCCCGGGATAATATCTGCAAAATTTACCGTTCGGTCAATTAAATACTGTTCACAATTGTTAACTATAGTATATCATTTAGTAAACATAAGTGTAGTATTTATTCAATAATTTATGTTAAAGTTATAATTATTTTGTCACTATTAAAGTATTAAAACTATTTTTTTATTAATCAAAAATTACATATATTTACATTTAGACAAAAAATGTCTTTTTAATTGTTTTTATTAAAATTAATAAAACCATAAAACTATTTATTATTATCGACTTTAAATTTGTTTAATAATATTTTAAAATTCTAAATTATTTTAATATTTTGTAATTGACTTTTATGAGTTTTAAATTAATAATTGTTTTATAACAAATAAAGCTATAAACAATTTTGTATAGTTAATAATACAAATTTACAAATGATATAAAATAATGAAAAAATTATAATTTAATAACATTGTACTTAATATCAGTTGCACTTTTATCAAAACAATTATACTTAAAACAAATATAAAATTTTATCTGTTATATACAATATAAAAAATAATAATTATAAAGTACTAAAATAAACTAACATTTCTTAGAAGAATATTTTGTCTTATATTAAATACATATTATAATAAAATAAAATAAAATAATAGTAAAAATGCAAAATTATTTAAAATTGAAATATGCAAATGAAAATGTAAAATTGAAATTGTCATTGCAATTGCAATTTCAATTGTGCATCAAAATTCATGCAATGAATATCTAATTTATATTTTCAAATAAATACCTATAATAAATAGGTATACATACAGTATATTAATGTATATATAATATACAGTATTAAAATTAAATGCAAACCAATATATGGCGATATATCTACAAATTGAATGACTAAATATATAATCAATTGAATTGAGAATTTCTTTTTTATTTATTATTGAAAAACTTAAATATCTATTTTTATATATAAATATAATTTATGGATAATATGGTAAATATAATAATAACAAAATTTCAATAACAAAAAAGTGTATTTGATTTTTAAAATTTAATATAATATATCATAACTAAATATCTAATATTTCTAATAAATAGTTTATTTTTTTAGTTAACAAAATTAATGTAATTTAATTGAAAAATGTCTATTCGTAATATAGTAGTCTATAATAATAAGTTTGTCATTATATTTATATGAATGTATGATAAGGTGATGCCATCGGCTATTCATATGGACAGTCATCTCTAGAGCACAGTATTGACTGAAGTGATGGTGATGTAAGTGATGTAGTAGTGGTGATGCAGTTGTGTTGATAGATGTCGTTGTGATGCGTGGGTGAGGAGTGACAGAGTGTGTGAGAGATACAGTAGTCTATGTAATCATGTATTGGATAAGCAGTGAATATGTGTGTGTTATGTGTGTGAGAGAGAGAGAGAGAGAGAGAGAGAGAGAAAGAGAGAGAGAGAGTGATATTGTATTGAATAATATAAAGTACTGTTGAGTATGTGTTGTATGTGTTGTATGTGTGTATGTATTGGATATATTGGACATACATTGGAGTCAATGTATTGACTGTAGGTATGAGTGTTAGTAATGGCGAACCATTGGTGCCATTGGTTTGGATGTGTGTTATGATTCTGTGGACCACTGACTGATCCAAAACAAGTGACTCAATCAACACTTTGACATCATTTGTATGAATTGATAGTTTTGATGATAGTATGCATCGCAAGACACCAAACACTGCAGTGATGCACATCTCGTCAAAGAGATGTTCACTAAATTGATTGCCATAAGCTGTTTGTGGCCAACAATTATGCATCAATTGATCCACACATGCAATGCCTATGACATGGACAACACTGATGATCACTTAAGATCAACTGCATCACAGATAGTGAGCATCGCATACCATCAACGACAGCACCAGCACTTGATCTGATTGGCACCGACTGTGAGACACATGTTTTGATTTTGATGATCAATCAGTTAATACAAGACATCACCACTAACTGTCTCAATACATGTGTACCGATTGTCTCCTTTATGTATTTCATCACCAATTCATCAAATTAATCAATTTTTATGTCACCACTTGATCACCAAATTGTTCAATTGATACAACCATTTGTTGTTATTATTATTATTTAAATATAAATATTGATTCAATTGGCAAATGATTTTCAATACATTATTATTAAAATTATTATTTATATGATTATTATTGCAATTAATTATTGATTTTTTTTAAATAATCAACTCTTTTAATTACTTTGTGTTTTATTTAACATATTTTTATCTCTTATAATAAATAAAAAAAATAGTTAAATAATTATTACAAAAATAATAATAAGTAATAAATAATAATAATAATAAAGTGTTGTGTAAATCAATAGTAATAGTAATTTAATCAAAAGTAATCAAAAGTGGAAAGAATTGAGACATCAGTCAAATCAAAGCTGGAATCAGAAGAGAGTGAAGCGAACCGCAGACCATCTCTATTGGCGAATGTAATGATGGGATGTTTCGGCGGATCCAACTCTAAGAACGATGCAGAGGAGGACAAGAAACGCAAAGAAGCCAATAAACGCATCGAAAAGCAGATCCAGAAAGACAAACAAATATATAGAGCCACTCATCGACTACTACTGCTCGGTGGGTGTCTTTGCCGACACAAACAACACAAATAATTAATGCCATTAATATAACCACTCATTTTTAATGTCATTAATTATTAGTTTTTTTATTTAAGACGTTGACATTTTTGTCTTATTTTGTCACTGATTTAATCACTTTTTTTTAAAAAAAATTGTTTTATTTTTTATACATTTTTTTGGTTAAATAATGTATTTATTTAGTAATAATGTGTAAATTTATGACCAAATCAGGTGCGGGTGAGTCCGGGAAGAGTACGATTGTCAAACAAATGAGGATTTTACACGTCAATGGATTTAGTGAAGAGTAAGTCAATCAAACTATAATTTTTTAAAATTAAATATTAACTTTTTATTTATTTATTTAGTCTTTTTATAAAATTTTATTTATCTCACAATATCTATCTATTTCTTGACTTATTATTATTATTTTTATTAATTAATAAATCTCAAAATTAGTTAATCATATTTGTAATAAGTTGGTTGGTTTACCTACCGTTAATTAAATTAATATCATATTTTTCAATTTACTGCTGTATATTATGCAATGACTAAAATAAGTTAATTGTATTGAAATTAGTGTAATATATATGTTAAATATAAATTATTTAAGGTAATTGCCAGTATAAACCGTATATTTCTATATAAATAAATATATATATATTATATACCGTATATATCTAACACATAGTACAGTATATAATATATAAATTGTATATAAAGTGTTTTATAGCATATGATAAGCCAAATGACTGACTTATTACAGCGCAGTTTTCTCTATAATTAATTATTTATTTAATTTGAAACTCATTTTGACTCTATTTTTGAAGTGTTAGCATAAAAAGTAGTGATTTTTTTGTTGTTACATATAATATAAAATTTGAGAACTAAATGCAGTCCATAATTTTCAACCATAAAAGTCGGTCATAATCTTAGAAATATTGAGAGAGAGAGAGAGAGAGAGAGAGAGAGAACTTTACTTAAAGTTCATAAATATACAGTACTTTTTGTATAATTATTATAAATATTTATAATATAATATAAGTTATTATCCCATTATTCATAACTCTTTTTAGTTACACATAAAAGTATATCATTTAAAAAGCAAATATAATTTACTTGAAACATAATTAATACTTTTTATAACAAAGTAAAACCTATTAAAATCATTGATTTGATACAATAATTAAAGTTAAAATTATTATTTATATAATAATAATATATAAGTGGTTAATTTTAGTGAATTGTTAAATTTGTTGTTTATCTAGAGCTAGTTAGTTATACAGTACTCTATCAGTTAGTTTGTAATACAATTATTTGATTATCATTTACAGTAAATGTTTGTTTAGAGATTTACATATAAATTCTTGAGACGACAACGGCATAAACTTTTAGATAATTTATTATATATTTCATAGCATTTTAATAAATATTTATTTTGATAACTAATAACCGGATTCTTATATATACTGTTAAAAATTTTCGTTAAAACTCGACTTAACATATAAACTATATCTAAGGCTTGAACTTTGTATTAATTCAATTCAATAGTAAAATTAGCTTAACGTTAGATCAAATGTTTAGATAAAAGGGATTATTTGTATTGTTTTATCGAATTTACTCTTAATTACATAGCATTCAGATATGGCTCATAAAAATTGAGTGATTTATTTGACTTTAACCGATACAACTGTAAATATGTATACTTTTTATAACATTTATTTTATATACAGTAATATACAATAACATTTACGCTTAGTTTATACAATTATTATTTATTATTTTTTAAATTTTATTATGTTTATTTATCTATTTATTAACCTACAATTATATATAGCTATTATATATAAATAGAATTTATAGATAATAAACACTTAAAAGTAATATATTTATTATGATAATAATAACAATAATACTTTACTATAATATAAATATATTATTATTAATATATTGAAACAGCGAAAAGAGACAAAAGATTGAGGACATCAAGAAAAATATTAGGGATGCAATTCTGGTATGAATTTGTATTGTTATCACTTATACTAACTGAGCCCAACATACTGTATGTATATTATTATAAATTAAAAAATATAGACAATAACGGGTGCAATGAGCACTTTGGTACCTCCGGTTCAATTGGAAAACCCCGACAACCAGTGGAGAGTAGATTACATTCAAGACGTGGCCAGTAATCCTGATTTTGATTACCCGACCGTATGTTATCTTATGTTTTATTTTAATATTTATTGTTATATCATATAATTATCTTTTACTGATATATCATATTTTCTATTTTTAATTTCATTTACTATTCTTGCATTTAAATGCCATTCAGTTGTTCATTATTTTTAATTTTAAGTCTCATTAAATAAAACTCATAACAACTATAAGAGTATAAAAAATTTATTCAAACATTAAATATAATTCCTTCACGGTTTGCGGTTTGTTGTCATAAATAAATTAATAAATTATAAATTGATTTCTATTTAATATGATCTCAACTCACTCTCTATTACCTTCAAAAACTATATAAATATTTATATTAGCATTTTATACATTTTTTTTGAAGAGTAACTTAATTTTAAAGGTATTTTATGGCTTATAAATATAACGTATACGAAAATTGGATGTATTAAAGTATTTTTTAAACGTTGATCACGATATCAAAGATTATAAATTTTATATAAATTATAGGAATAATTTTTTTAATATTAAATTTATTGCAATGAAATGTGGCATTGAATTGATTGATAGATATCTTTAAACTCGTAAACGTTTTTATTTTTGCAAACATTTGTTTACTCTATAAATAAATTAATAAATTAGCACTACTGATAAACCAAACAAAAAACTAAGTTAATAACATTAGACAAAAAAAAACATTTACTATTCAATTCAATTTAATTAATATATTAATTGATTTATGTTTACATGTTTTGTTAAATATATGCAATAATAGAGTTTTAAAAAGTTTATTACAGTTTGTACTTATTGTTTGTTTTGATTCATTTTCACGTTTTTCATATTCATTGCAATTTTAGTTATAATAATTATATATATATATATAGTATATTTATAATTAGTTTAGAGTTTATTTTTAAGTACTGATTATTTTTTGTTTCTATATTTTGATTTTAAAACTTTTTTTGTTTCATCTATTAAGCAAGTTTTGGGTCGTCAGTAGCAGTGGAACTGGCGCTCAGCCCAAACTTACCTACCAGTGCTTATAAATGTTCACAAAACTATTGCATTCATAAATCAATTTAAGAATAGCATAGAATCAGACATTTTTGGCACAACATTTAGAGAATCAATAAATTCATTAATGAATTAAAATTTAATACATTGTTTTATGTATATATTTAATAAAAATTTTAAGATTAAATAAATAATACATTTTATTTTTGATATATTTATGTGTTGTCTTTCTTAAGGAATTTTACGAACACACGGAAGTGCTTTGGAAGGATAGGGGGGTTTTACTGGCATTTGAGAGATCCAATGAGTATCAGCTAATAGATTGCGCCAAATAGTAAGCAATTTTAAAACAATCATTTGTTACAATCATTTATTAAATTAATTTTAAACGATAAACCAGTTTTTTAGATCGGGTCCATATCGTCAAAATGGCTGACTATACGCCTTCAGAACAGGATATCTTGAGATGTCGTGTCTTAACCTCAGGAATATTTGAAACCAAATTTCAAGTGGAAAAAGTCAACTTCCAGTTAGTATACATTTGTTTGCATCTATTAATTGTAATTTTTTAAAAATTTTTAATTGTTATACTAATGTTTTATTAAATGGATAGTATGTTTGATGTCGGTGGACAACGTGATGAGCGACGAAAATGGATCCAATGTTTCAATGATGTGACTGCCATTATATTTGTGACCGCCTGTAGCAGCTATAATATGGTGCTCAGGGAAGACCCCAATCAAAACCGATTGCGGGAATCACTCGATCTCTTTAAAAGTATATGGAATAATAGGTAACTGTTTTTTATTAATTATTATTTTTTATAATTAAATTTTAATTAACTTCATTCCTTATTTTATCAAATCAATTAATTTTATTTAAAAAAAATTATTATATACTGAATATACAGTATCTATGATCAGTTATTTTTTTGGCAAACTTATCATTAGTTAATCTTGTAAAATAAAGATAAATTTATATGAATATTTAACAACATAATTATAACATTTAATGTGAATTATAGAGTTACATAATAACCCGATTAAACACAAGTAATTGGTCTATAAATAAGATAACTTAGTTGTGATATAATTATGCATTAAAATAAATTATAATCATAACATATCATATAATATCAAATTTAGGAATTTTATTTATAAAACATATGTTTAAAAATAGAGTAATAATTTGATTGTTGTTATAATACTATTGAATACTATCAATAATATTTATAATTTGGTGTTTGCATTATTTTGAATAAGATTTAGATTAATTTGTTGAGCATTTATGTAAATATTGAAATAAAACAGTTTAATTGAGACTATCATTAAAGGTGTGGTGCCAAACATTTTTTGCACTACTTTAGACTTAAATTTAATATTCAATGCACTTTTTTTGATTGCATATTAATACATATTTTAATGAAAATAAATTGAAATTCAATGATTAATTGATAATTTATTTATTGATGACATGACAGGTGGTTAAGGACGATATCAGTTATTTTATTTCTCAATAAACAAGACTTATTAGCCGAAAAAGTAAAGGCAGGAAAGTCTAAAATAGAGGACTATTTTTGTGAATTCGCTCACTACCAGACACCACCCGATGGTATGGACACAACAATCATTATTGCATAACAATTATGTATTGATATCTAATTATCATTTATTACAGCTGTCTTTGATCCGGGAGAGGATCCAGACTTTGTTAAAGCCAAGTATTTTATTAGAGATGAGTTCCTGGTATGACTTTGATATTAATTGGTCGATTGATTGCAATTAACAATGTATTGCATTATTGTATTATTTAGCGCATCAGTACAGCCAGTGGTGACGGCAAACACTATTGTTATCCTCACTTCACGTGTGCGGTCGACACAGAAAATATCAGACGAGTGTTTAACGACTGTCGAGATATTATTCAAAGAATGCATTTAAGACAATACGAGTTATTGTGATTCCGGTGCAAACCAGACGTTAACACAATTAGGTTTTTAATTAGTGTTTCAATCAATTTATTTTCTCACCCAAACATTGCATCTGCAAAATGACTCTCAATTTAACAATTATTACAATAACTGTTTAAAGACAAGAAACGCAACGGTTTGGGGTTTGTCTTGAGTTTAATCCTCAGCTTTTGGTTATTATACCGAAATGTTAACTCTGAAGACTAGCATTAGAGCCAAAACAACAGCAAATTAATGACATGAATATACAACTAAATAGATGCCTCAAGAGATGACTTTTTTAGAAAAATTGACTATTTGTTGATAATATATATTATTCAAACAAAAAAGACTTCAATCACTGAATTCATCACATCTTTTGACGCATCAAATTGCAGGTCATCGGAGGTCACATACACACCACCAATACATGTAAGACATGCATCAGAATCATCTAAATCATGAGTGTCATCAACTGTCATGTGAATCATTGTCAGTCATCATCTCTTCAGCCATCGTCTGCCAACCACTCTCTGCCTATAATCAAGAATTTTGAGTCCATTAATCAAATGCAACCCATTTTAATGATATGATATATAATTGTTTTAAGCAAAAAAAATTCTTGTAAGTCGTGCTCATAATTGAATTTATATGAAGATATAAGAAATGATTTTGAATTATGAAAACAAAACAAAGATTTGAAGTAAATATTTGTTTAAAAAAATAACAGCATTTTTGTGTCGAATTTGATGAAAGCGCACATCCAATTGATTTTAATTTGATTGTTTGTAAACTCATTTTTCAAATTGTTGTTTAGTCAACCCTTTAATATTTGAATTTGTTATTAATAACAATAATAATAATAATAACAAAGCCCTATAGTAATAATAATAATAATAAATATTTGTATTTTATAAATGATTAGTACATACAATAGATAACCCAAAAACTCATATTTTTAAAAATTACTTATTTTTAAAAAAATTGATTACAAAATTACAGACTTCAAGAATATTCTTTAATTTTATTAAAAATGAATAACCGATTCATTGACTAAATGAGTTCGACTCAAGAAAACGAGTAATAAAATTATTTAATATACAAAACAATTATATAATGATTAGTAATTATAAATTACTAAAATATGTTTTGCTACAATTATTTGTTGTGATTTATATATGAATTATATTATATTATATATATTAGTTAATAAGTGATTACACAAATAATTGGTTAAATGGCAGTTATTTTTCATTTATTTCATTTATATCTCAATCATTCATCAATTAACAGTTGTTATTACCGATAATCCAAATCTCAATAAAAACAAGTCTAATAATGTTTTAATGTTTTTTAATCCGTAATTTTTTACATTAAAAATATTGACAAAAAACAATGACTTAAAAATGTTTTTATATTATATTTGGTTCGTTTTTTTTCTAGCTATTAATATCTGATAATTTAATTTTGCAGTTAATTCAAAGTGTTATAATTTATCTGCTGTTGTTTTGTATAAATAACGAATTAAATTCTGTTAATAATAATAATAATAATCAAACAGCTATTATTTTAATTTTTATTACTTTATGTAATTTTTTTCAACTAAAACATGGACTCAAAAATCAACAAAATTTGTTTAACAGTTCAGTACAAACATTGATTATTGTACTACAAAATTAACTTAATCACCACTTCTCTCAACTAAATTAAAAACCAGAGCTAAACCCAAAAACCAGTCAAAAAACTATCGGTTAAACCGTTTGGACGCCGATCTTGTCGTTAAAGCAGTGAAATAATTCAATTAAAAACGAAAATCATTTTGAAGTCAAGTTAAGCTTATTCTTCCCAATGATTATTGTCTTCGAGTTATTGTTTAAAATATTATAAATTATTTTTACTTTTATTTACTACTTTTGCTTTTTTAAATTTTTTTGTGTGTTGAATATAAATATATATTTAATTATAAACTTGAATAGAAGTCATTACCGAAAAAACCAATTGATTTAAATTGTGTTTATGTTAAAATCATTTAATGTTTTTTAATTAAATAAAAAATATATGTATAAAATTGATAAATAAATGTAAGACAAGAAAATCAATGCAACAGACCGACTATCCATTAAATAAATTGTAATAATTGTAATAATTAGTTAAAATTAATTATGTTTTAATAATTTCAGCAATTGTTTTGTGCGAATTTTTTCATATGTTATTATATCTCATATTTGAACCATTATTTTGAATACATTTCTGGTCAAACACTCGATATACACATATTATTATAAATATATTATACAAATAGGTTTTAATTGAATGTTGATATTTGACTAAAAAATTTATATATTAAAAATATAAGTAGTTTTTAAAAAACGATAAATAATTAGTTAATCAAATTATTTGTTTTAAATTTGAGTCTTTTTAAGTAAAAATAATTAAACATTTATTATTATTAATTTTGATGTTTTAAGTTTTTATAAATTGTTAGATTTTACAGTATATTAATTCATTAAAAAATATTTTATTTATTTAACTTGTTTTTGTTAAATCAAAAAATATTATTTTTAAAACAGTAATTATTTAATGAAATATAATTTGTTATAAATTATTTAATTTTTAAGTCTATAATTTATAATTATAATAAACAAAATAGTTTTTAATTTAAAAAATATATTTATAGAATTATTGATTTTATAAACGTTATAATTATATTAATATTTATTTGAATCTGTTTTTGAATGAATTAAAATTAAATGAAATGATCAATACTTTTTTGGGATTTTTTAAATATAAATATTAATAATAATATATAATTTACTGTAATAAGTATTGGTATAAACTTATTATCATATAAAATGTAAGTAAGAAAATTAAATTATATAACAAGTATTTAATGATTTTTGAAACACTTATTTAGCATTTATTTTTGTGAATGGATTTTGAATATTGCTGTCTAACACCGTATCATATATTTATACGAATATTTCGTTACATATTATATACAGTAATTTATTTATATATTAAATACGGTATATATAATATGTATATAGTATTGTGAGCTAAAAATAGAGAATCGATTTTAAACTAAGCATTGAATAAATGAAATCTTATAGAAAAATAGTAACAAACACTCAAAACGTCTCACAAATATTGAAGTATTACTATAAATACCATTAAAAATATATTTATATAAAAATTATAATATACTGTATATACTGTATATTGTGACAGACTTTGATTCTATATGAAAATATTTCATTAAAATTTTATTTGTTTTATAAAAAACTATATTTTTAAAAATATAAAAAAGTAATAAAATATTTGAGTCTAATATTATTGGATATGTCTGATACTTATGAATACTTGAAAATAATTCAATAACATTGACAATGATATTATCACATTGTAATGTTTATTTTGCTAGACATTTACAGATTGCTACAAATGGTTAATTCAAATAATTTTTCAATTTAATAATTACAATAATTTTATTATATAATATCTACGATTTATCATAAATTATTACAGTAATATATATTTAGTATTATTCACAGTATTGTCATATATTTATAATTTATTTACGTTTAATATCAAAATATCATTAAATAACTTATTGATGCAATCAATCAATTGGTTGATTAATTTGAAATTAGATTTTTAATTAATAGAATATATTTATTGGATTGCAGTCTGCATTTTAAGTGTATTATTACAATATTTGCAAAAATATAATAATTATAAAAAACTAAATCAAAATTATTAAAAAAAATATTTCGAGAATTTAATATTTTATTAAACATTTTGCTAGAATCATAAATATTTAATTAATCAATCAAATACAATATTAGTGAATTTTTATCAATATTTATTGAGTTTGTTTAAATATTATTATTTAAAATTAAATAACATTAAATAAGTAATATTTAATATAAAGTAAATATTTATTTAAAAATAGTTTCAACAAAATACTAGTTTCAAAATACAGTATAAAACATTTGAATATTGCATATAAAGGAATGATTGTTTCAAATCTTTCAGTGCACTGTTTTATACAGTATTTAAATAAAAACTTAAAAACATTAAAATATAATTAGTATCAAATAAAACATATATAAAATATAACTTTTTAAAAGAGATCATAAATAAAAACTTTATACAAAATAATTTATATTTCGATGAAATATTGCATTTAAAATATGAGAAATTGACACAAATAACAGAAATTACACATTCATTTAACGTAATTTGAAAATACATTAATCAGTCTTTTGTGCGTTTCATTGAATATTCAATTGAATGATAAATACTTTAAAAAATTCAAATAATTATATTATAAAATTTATTATTAAAAAATGTATCATTCTATTGAAGATCCAATTCATTAAAATACTTAACAAATTAACACTAAATGTAATAAATAAGACAACAAAAGGGCGGTCATTGAAATCCATAAGTGCTGTCAGAGTCGGAGTCCTTATGACGTTCAGGTGTTGACAATCTTTTAGAGTTTTTCTTATTTCTCTTTGATTTTTTGTTTACATTATTCTGTGAAAAAATGATTTGAATAATATATAAGTAAAAGTTATTATTTAGTAATATTAACTAAACTTACATTTTCGGGTATGCTTTCAACAGATCCCCAACTTTTAGGACCGATTCCCGTAATTTTCTTGACTTTTGAGGCCGCTTTCAAACTCCCGATTCGTATAAAATTAGTTGTTGATGACGAAGACTCGGATGCAATTCGGGCTATAAATAACAACATTTAATAACAATTTATTTGATTAATAAAAAAATAAATCAAACGCATCACAACCTGCTATGGATTTGGGAATAGCGGTTAGGTTTGGGCCAAAATTATTCGCTATATTTACAAATAAAATTAAACCAAATAAAATCAAAATAAATTAAAATATAATTAAACATAAATCAAAATTTGCATTAAATTAAATTAATTTATTAGTGATTTAGAAAAGTTAACAAATATATAAATATATACAATAAATATAGTCAAATGTTTTGTAAGGAGTGTTATAAGTACGGAATGTTTGGAAATTTAGTGTTCATTAAATAAGAGACCAATTTTTTGTTTGCGTTTGTTTTTAGTTTTTAAAATCATTGAGTGATGAGAAACCTTTTGCCTTAGATTTGGCCCAAAGTTATTGAAATCACAAGAATCAGTGGTTAATAATATTTGAGAGAAAGTATTTCTTCCATTATTGAGATCAGTCTTACGTTGACTGGTTATCACTCCGTTTGATGGCTTCCCAACACCATTGGTATTACTCGTCTTTTTATGCTTCAAGTACTGTGCGGGACGTTTGCCGCTGTTATCACGTATAGAGGAATCGGCATCTATTGTATCAGTAAATTAATTATAAGATTTTAAGATTTGTCACAAATTATAATATACTATAAGTTTTGATGAGAAGTTCCATAATATCTTCGTTTTGATTAATAGCTGCCAAATGAAGTGGAGTATAGCCTCCGTGAGACTTCATGTTAGGATTGACACCATAAGAGCCAGCAATGAGTTTAACGATATCAGGTTTGGCGAACTTTGAGGCCCAGTGTAAGGCTGTGTAACCATTTGTAAAATCTCTATAACCACTGAGTTTTGGCTCTTCTTTAAGACACAAAACAAGTGAATTGTAATCACAATTAGAGGCAGAAATAATCCATTTCTTGCGCAACGGATCTAACGTTTGCATTGAACCCGAATCAGTCTCTTCGCTGTCTTTATCACTTTTAGCAGTTCCGGTGCGAGACTTTGGTCTTGTGTTGGCGACATTGTTGTTAATATTGGGTTGGACTGGCATTGGAGGTTTTAATTCAGTAAGTGATGCCATTTTGTCAATTTTTTGGGCGCGCTCTTTGACCCGACCGGGTGTTTGAATGGATAGCTCATGGATCTCTTTTAGCTTCTCTATTTGATGGGAGGGAGAGTCAGCGGTGGTCTCTCCTAAATACTAAATACAATAGAAATAGACAGCGCTTAGAGGAAATCTACATTAATTTAAACACTTTATGCAATAATTATATATACAAAACACTATATAAACGGGAAGGAAATCAGTTTATATTCACTGTGAATGACAAATACAATAAACAGTGAAAGTTATGATTTTATAATGAGATCCTATGATTGTATGTATGAATTGTATTGTAACTCACTATAAATTTGATTCAAAATACACAATGGGTGGAGATTTTACAACTACTAGAAAGTCATTAAATTAGGTTTCAATTATAGTTTGCATTTAAATAACACTTTTTTATTTAATTAAATGCCAATTGTTTTTGAAAACAGATGTTATTTGATTGTCGTAACACTTGAGAGCATATTGAATGAGAGGCAAAATAGTGAAAAACAACTCATTAATAACAACACAATTAGCCTTCACTGTCACCAAAATTGGTCGGTCCTCTCAGTAATTAAACTATATATGCATTAACTGTAACTGTATCTCACATTCAAATTAATTGACACATATTTTAGCTGTGATATCATGTTTTGTTATAAATAATAATATATTATATTAATAATAATAAAAAGTGGGACTAAAGTAATGACATAATTATGTGCTAATTGTAATGATATGACAAAAAAAGCAAACCTTATCACCATTTCTTTCGTCATCAAAATGTTTGAGTCGTTCTTCAATTGGTGTCTTAGCCTTACCACTACTCGCAGCACTGTTGCGTCTGCGGGGCGGAGGCTGTGGCGGTGTTTCGCAACTATCACTCGGATAACTAAAACTCATTTGACGGACAGCAGTAACAATTGGACGGTTATTCATAGTTTGGTCAACTCTTGCTTTCGGCTGAGTGACCATTAATGGCATCTTTTGTGGAATGTTTAGTTGCTTAGGCGGCTGTGGCCGTCGGCTCTCAACTACTGGTATACCAATTGGTGGTTCTCTCATAGAAACCGGAAGACCAATACTGTTAATTGATTCATGTCGTTGAAGAGTTGGTTGCTGTTGATGTAATAATGGTTGTGGATGTGATAGTGGGTGTGTTTGTGATAGTGGTTGTAATTGTGTTTGTGGTGACTGTGAAGATATCCTCGATTGGTAAACATTTTCTTGTAAATTATTTCTAAACTGTGGTCTCAATACTAAATACTTGTTGTCCTGTAAATCAAGTTTTGATTGTAATTCAAATAGTTTTGTCAATTAAATGCCAAAAGTGATGGAAATACCTGTTTGTTCGATACGACGGCCAACTGATTGACATAATCTGCAAACGCTTTTCGGGCCTCAACTGCAATGCAAAAACAATTACCGATTAATATAATAGTCATATGTTTTTGTTATTTCTGGTCAATCAATGGTTAAATCAATTACTTTGTGTATTTTGTTTGGACAGATGATGTCTGAAAGCTTTGACTAACTCGTGGTACTCAACGACGCCATCATTGGATAGAAGATAATACTTAATGTCATCCAAAGTAAAGCCTAAGTCGAGACTCATTATGTTTGGTGACAATTGAATCACTCATTAATTTGATCCCAAATACGAGTTTCAATGGAAGTGTTGTGATGTTTGTCTAATCAATTAATGATGAGTTGTCGTCATCGGTGGTCAACAATTAGTTAATATGATATTGACTTAAGTTATCAATTGAATCATTAAATGACAGAACAATACAAACATCACTGAAATATAGTAAACAATTGATAATCAATACAAACAATCAAAACATTTGATTCAATCAATTGTTTTCATTAATATTAATACAAGTGTTTGACAACCGTTTGACTCAATTGTCACACATTTGCCATTCATTGCCAACAGTGCTAACAGTGGGCGCTATAACTCTACACAACTGTATGTGATTTTATCATAATTTCAATCCAAATACCTGTTTATATCATTGAAACAATTTGTATGAATCAATCACCAAATAGTTTGTTTAGTAAAACAATACAGTATTTTCAACTAAACTAATAATTATTGTAAATATTTTGCTATTATTATAATAAATGTTTGTATATTTCAAATCCCAAAAGCCATCCAATTAAGAGTAATAATGTTTATATTATTATAAATTATTTAGTTTAGAGATTATTAATAATTTTTTCAAAACTTTTTAAAAAATAATTTATTTTCGGAAATTTATTACATTTATTATTGTATTGTACAGTTAAGCTATAAATGTAATATATTTTTAATTAATGGATCTTTATCATTAAAACAACGTATTTTTTAAATAATACAATACAATAGAAATTGTTTTAAAAATATGAAATTATAAGTTTGAAATATTTTAGTTTACATAAATTTTAAAAAATAATGCGCTAACTTTTACGTTAAAAATAAAAAATAAAACATATTTGAGTCAACTTTTATAATTTCTTATATTAATCATTATTATGAATATTATCACAAAATTTATCAAAGATTAACCATATGATTAATTATGGGGCGATTTATTTAAATTCAGTTAACATTTTTGTTTTTTATTATATGAAATAAGTAACTGTAAAGACATTTAATATTAACTTAACAAACCTTTCGACGATATACAGTAGCATTAACTTGAGATAAATGAAAAAAAACTTCAAATATTATTGAAAACTACAAATAATTATCTAAAAAATTCAAAATAAATATAAAAATACGATATTTTAATTTAAATAAAGTTAGTTAAAAATAAGTTTTGTTATAATAGTAGAATTATTATAATTAACTATTACCATCTAAACTGTGGTATTTCTACTTAATTTTAATATTTTGATATTTTAATAAGCAGTAAGCAGATAAGAAATTAAATAATTTTATTTATTAATTTTATAATCAATTAAAATAAGCATAATGTTTAAATAAACTCAAAAATAAAAAATACATTTTATTTGATGTTTATTTGCAAAATGACTACAATTATTATTATTGAAGAAAAAAATATGATTCAAACGTTTGGTTTAAATGTTAAAATACGTGTATAAGTGATACAATCATAAAAGTTCTAATGTATTGTAAAGAAGACATTTGAAATAAATAGTTTTTACTAAATATATATATTGTTATATTGAATACTAAATAATTAATGGTGTATATGGATATAATTTATTTGATGTATTTATAATTTTAAATGCAAAACAGCCCTCTTTTTTAAAATAGATTCTCAAAACATAGTTTTCATTTGTGTTTAAAATTATTTTTTATTAGCTAAACTATGATAAATTATTTGATAGTAGTATACTTTTACAAAATAAGGGACAATATGTTTGCACTTGAAATTTTACAATAATTTTTTTACAAGTCATTTGAAAATATATATATATATATTCAGACAACTATTATTATTATATTATTAGAAATATAATGATTGGACGAATATATTTAGTCTATAAATAATTTGTATTAATATTATTTAAACACTTTTTCATATCCCATACCTAAACGTTGAGTGGCCTTCAAATTATATTGTTTTCACATGGTTTGCTGCATAAAACAATTTGTGGCCAATTTATATGTTTATTTGTTTATGAAATTAAAATTGTCTGAAAATTATATATAATTAATTATTATTTAGTAAATATTATACAAAACCATATTAATCTCAATGTATAATTTCTAAAATAATACTTTAAATTGATGTTATTTAGTGAGTTAAATGCTATCTAAATATATAATATTTGGAAGTTTTGCCACAAAAATGTACTCAAACTTTTTATACCTATTATTAGCACATTGGACTAGAAGTCTAACAAAATCAATATTTGTTAAATTGGTGACAAAAACGTACATTTATATATTCAATACTTATTACTTATATATTATCAATATTTATAACAAAATAAAAAAATAAACTCAAAATATAAAAATCAACAAAGTCATAATAAAAAAAATAATCAAATTAATAATAATTTTATAGTTGTGAGCATTCAATGAGTTATTTAAAATAATCACACTATCATTTATGGATAAATAAATGATACAAATGCCGTATGAAATTTTAAGCATTTTATCACATTATGTGCTCTTATTGTAGGATTTGGTGAAAACATAAGAAATTTTTAAAATAAATTTCATACTTTTGGGTCGAAATTTGCCGGAAAACATATTTTTTAGAGAATATAATATCTGAAAATAAATGCAATTAAAAAAACTAATTGGAATGTAAAGAAAAACCGGTAAATTTGAAAAAACATAATCTTATAATATATAAGATAATATTAAAGCAATTGGTATTATGAGAGTAATAGAGCTGACAATTAGGTGAGTCGAGTGATTACATCCATCTTTGCCATTACAGGAACAGTACTGAACTAACACCGAGAAAGTACCGGCTCTTTTGATACAATCATTGGGCAATACTGTTCCCGGTTTGATCTCTTGACCCAAATCATTGAGATATCCACAGCCACGGATTGTACGGTATTCATCATTCACTATATTATCAATCAATAATTTTATTAACTTTTAATTTTATTTAATAATAATAATACCTTTTTGAACAATTTTTCTGCATATAGTTCCCGGTTGATTAGGAAAATGGGGCAAAAATTTTTGATTGCAATCAGCCATTGCAAAGTCATCCTCTTTGAATGGATCGTTACAATTGGCGTTAATCAGGGAATTACAATCCCAACAGTTTAATGAATAGGCTATTAAACACATTATTTTTTCCATTAGAAAATTTTATCAAAAATTTAGTAATAATATGTCGTAACCAAAAAATATTGGCCACAAATCTAATGCAATATTAAATTTCCTCATAATAATTATAATAATGTTTTTTATTAACTAATTTAATGCAATATTTTATTGCTTTTTACTGTTAAGATATTTGCTTAAAAAATTATAAATCTTTAATAAAATAGTTTAATATCATAAAATTACTACTTTTAAATTATTTGAAAAAAAATATTTTTTTACAAAATACACCATGAATTGAATACAAATAAAATAATTTTAAAATACTGTATTCAGTCTATTATATGTTAGTAAATTAACATTAAAATCAGATAATTATTTTGACTAACTTATCAATTTACACAATTTTAGTTATAATAAACAATTTTCTATTTTATTAAATGTTAAATTTTAAAAATCAATTTGTATTATAAATTTATAACTTATATCTTAAATTACTTATTTGTAATTTAAATCTAAAATTATTATAATTGGTTAAAAATTTGAAAATATTTTTATTATTTCCATTAACAATATTACTACAAAAAAAACCAAATATGGAAACACTTATAATATTTTTGGATTTAATATAAACATATTGTTAATTATTATGGCTTTAATTTTGATTATAATTAATATGAATGCTATTTAAAGCCAGTTATGTGTGAATTCATTGGTAATCAAACACTAAATTCAATGATTAAACTATTGAAAGGCAAAACCTGTTTTTGTCAGTCATTTCATGCAAATTGCTATTAATTATTGATTTTTTGTGCTTTTCATTAATTATTCATTCAATATAAAAAAATTATAAATATATAAATAAAATATCATTGAATTTATCTTAATATTTGATAAAATTGTATAAATTTAAAAATATATTTATTTAAATATAACTTATGAAAGATTTAATAAATAAATCTTTCGTTTTAAAATGTAATTATTGTTTGAATAATTAAGTCTAACTTTGAATTTTAAAAAAGCATTATAAGTAAGTAATAGTTAAGTTATATTGAAATCAATTATTGTTGAAAATGTTAGATAACTTGAATGATATAAAAGTAATGAAAGTGATGGACAACTATAACTAGTGATTGTTTGTATCAAATGTGATGACAATTGGATGAAAAACACTTACCAAATGGTAAACACACTGATAGTGCCATTAAAGTCAATGCAATGTTGTTTGTAGTATACATTGTTTGCACTGTTTTGTTATTAAAACTAATTTCAATTAACGTTTTTTATTAATCAAAACTATTAATTAGTAATTATATGATTAATATAATTGAATGCAATTTAGAACCAATGAGTCTATTGTGTTGTGAATATAGCAGTCAATGGGTCTATGGGTTAGCCTTAACTGCAATGTCGGACAAATGCATACATTGAACATACAGTCAATACATTAGTGACACTGAGCTCAATGTGATGTCATATACAGTAATAAAGTGTATATTTTATTGAGAAGTATTGAGAACACACACTATGTTTGTACGCATGCCTTATATCTATGACTTTCTCTGACAAATGTTCATCACTTTTACCGTTTTATTATAACATAGCTTATTATCCATAAGAGAGTATATATTAAATATATTTAATATTATATAATATGACAATTGTATTGGATTTTATGCAAACTATTTATTGACATTATATACAGTATTAATACACTCTATAAGGTATTGCACACAACTGTGGGTTTCAGTGATGACCCAATTCACTACAATTTACTAATATATTATTATTAATAATACCTGTATTTAATTTTTATTTCAACGTAAATCTATCCAAATATACTGTATATATATTGTACAGTAATTTTGTTTTAAAATACATTATATCGAAGATCATTACTAAACTTTTCCATAATATGTATGAAATAGTATGTCTTATATTCACATAACCCACAAATATTGTCTTTAATATCTTATAGTTTTATACAGTATGTTAAAGTAATATCTGTGTGTAACTAAAAAGTTTAAAAATATTTTTTTTGTGATTATAGTGTATACAATAATATTAAAATGCATCGTTATTAATATTTTTATTGAATTAAATATACAAATTATAAATTACTATATTTGATATTAACTATATATAGATTTAAGATATTGTTAAAAATATGATTCAGATAAATTAAACAAAAAGATAGTTTTTATCGATAAGATTTATACACTAAATTAATTAGCAAAGTTTATCAAATTTAATTGACTTTGGTGATAGGATATTGCTAATTATATTATAAATTTAGTTACATAAACAATCATTTATTACAAAATCATAGACATTAATAACATTTTTATAAAATGATATTTTCTATGTAATTAATTTAATTATCTAATCTAATCTTAGATATAAAGTACATAATCAATAGAAATATATGATAATGTAAATAACAATATTTAATCTTTACTTTTGTTTATTTAATTATTAGTATAAATATCCTAATTTATCTTTTTTAAATTATTTTTTTAATTGACATTTATTTAATTTCTATAATTAAATGTTATACTGTTTACAGTTATTATTCAATCATTATATTAATATACGATATTATATCATGGAATTAGCATTTGATGCAATTATATATATTGTACAGAAATTAATTAAAACCTTTACACAAATTTAATTGTTTGACAAAATATATAACAAGAATATACGATATCATAATAGATAAATCTTTTTGTCATTCAGTTTATATTAAATTAAAATATTTTTATTTAAAGTAAACAAATATATAAAATTTATATATAATTAGAATATACTTGAAACTAAAAAAAACAATAAATATATTATTAGTATTAAAAAATTGTTTATTTTTTAAATTTTTAATATCATAAGCACACAAATTTTATAATCAATTTCCACACAATTTCTGTGTCATTATTCCCGTCTGAACCTCTCTTCCCGTCTCAGGTTATCATATATGGCACTAATAGTCACAACACTGATCCCTTAATTTTCATTTTATTTCTTTATTATTTGTTAACTGTTATTGACTGACATCGATGTCTACATTGCACTCAATTGTCTTCACATTGTATACACACAGCCGTAGACATCACTTGCATTACAATTAGTTTAACACTATAATAGTAAGCATTGATAAAAAGCATTTAAATTATATTACTGTATTTCATAAAACATTTTAATCATAATTATTTAATTCTTAAATTAAAATTAGATAAAATACAGTATAAGTAGCGTATATTAAGATGTTTAAATAAATAATTATATATTTATGGTTAATATACATACGGTAATGTAATTATACAGTACATGTACAATATTCGTAATGCATTATATTATCAATATTGTATTTAAGGGTGTGTGTCATTTAAATAAATAATAAATATATTGTAATAAAACTGCTGTATTTTAAACATGATTAAAGATTTAGTCAAAATTGAAGTCTATTTTAAAATACAATAAAATACAATTACAAATACAATAAAACCTATTAGTATATTCAATTATTAATTATATCATATCAAATTGAATTGAATTATCAATTATGATTTATTTAATTAATTATTAGTAGTATATATTTCAAAATATATTATCCTCATGATTTTTATTAAGTAAATCCAAAACTAACCATTAAATAAAAGTAAGTTTTGTAAAATTTTATATCTACTTGAAATATAGCATATATTTAATACCGAAAGTAATACTGTTTTAAAATTATATTAATAGTTTTAGTAAAATTTTTAAAAATACAATAATAATTATTTTTTTAAATGGAAACTTTTGATAAATAATTAAACGAATATAACTAATAAAAATATTCATTTGTCGTACAAAAAAATACTTTTAATTTAAAAAAAAGTTAAATAATAAGTTGAGCAATATTTGACTATATGAAAATATGTTGTTATTATTATTATAAATAAAAAATAAAATGTTAATTAAAAATAAGTAAATGTAAATTATGTGATTAAGAGACTTACAAACTTGAATGTAAATGTTTTTAAAAAATAGTTTTAGATAATAATAATATTGGAAAATATGTCGATTGCTTCTATAATTGATTACTTAATATAAATCAATAGAAAGTTTTACAAATTGTTTATATTATATATAAATTAAGATTTTTAATTATAATAAAATCTGTCATAAAAATTAAAATAATTTCTAACTATTTAATAGTTTTATACAATACTTTACTTATTTTATATTTTATTTTAAAAGAAAATTAAATAAATCTCTTTTTTATATAATTAAAATGAAAATTAAAAAGTTGTTACTGTTAAATAAAATATAATATGTCATATAATATATAAATTATATTTAATTGAAAAAATCTCAATTTATATTTAAATCAATTGAATTAAAACTATTTGATTTGTTTGTATTAACTCTTAGATTGATTATCAGCACTACGTTTGCAAACTGTAGTTATTATTGTATAATATTATTGTAATATTAGTGACAATTGGACTATAATTGCGTTATTTATGCAATAATAACACTAAATGTTTTGAATTGTTGTTTACAATTGAATGACATATGATTTGAGTGATTGAATCAATTGAGTGATGACTTCAAAGACATCGATAACGACGGCGAATGTCAACTCAGATATCGCCGATCTGTTACAAGAGTTGGCCAAACATGAGATGAATGTCAATCAAAACCGATTCAAGTATCAGATGTACAGAAAAGCGGCCAAAAGTGTGACGGATTACCCGAAACGTATCGAATCGACCGCTGAGGCCGTTAAGTTGCCCGGAGTCGGACCCAAGACTGCGGCCAAGATTATGGACTATATCACCAATGGATCCATTCGTCAATTAGATAGAGTGAGACAATCAAATGAAAGCAATACAATCAATGATTTGCTGAGAGTTTCAGGCATTGGTCCCAAAGTGGCCGCTAAACTCATGGCCGACGGTATCAATACTATTGATCAGTTGAAGTCAATCGCACACACACTGACTGATCACCAGAAGATTGGACTCAAGTATTTAGAAGAATTTGAACAACAAATTCCAAGAAATGAGATAATGAAGATCGAGACTATACTTATAAACAAAATGAATGAATTTAACAAAAATATTTTGTTAACCATTTGTGGATCATTTCGTCGCGAATCTCAAGAAAGTGGTGATATTGATGTCCTTATGACTCATCAGAGATTAACGTCTGAACAGTTAAAATCCAGACAACAAACGTATCTCAAAGATTATGTTCGCTGTCTTGAAAAGTGTGGACTCATTACCGACAGGATCTCATTGGGTGACACAAAGTTTATGGGTGTCTGTCGACTGTCCACAGATAGACCGCATCGTCGAATTGATTTACGATTCTTACCGTACGATCAATATTTCTGTGGTGTCCTGTATTTTACAGGAAATGACTTTTTTAATCAACAAATGAGAGTTAAGGCCAACGAAATGGGATTTACTTTAAATGAATATTCATTAAGAAAATTAGGATTGACTTCAGTTCCCGGAGAACCCATACCTATCATCTCTGAGAAAGAAATCTTTGAATACATTGACTTTCCATTTAAAGAACCTAAAGATAGAAATTTCTAGTTTTGTTTTTTTGCAATAAATAAATTAATTTTGTTTCGATTATTATCAGATTTCGAGTTTTATTATCATTTGTTTGTATCTAATTTAGATGTTATTCACTTTTATTTATTTAACAGTCATATCAATTAATTTTATATAAAAATTTAAATCAATAGTATTTGTGATAAATTAAATTAAATTAAATTAAAAATATAATATAGTAAACAATTCTTATTAATCATTAGAAATGATTATATAATTTATTCATAATTATTTTTTATATAAATATTTCTTATATTTAGTAAATTGTTATTTATTTGTCAAATGACTTAATCTCAGAGCAAATCATTTGAAACCAATTGTGAATTCTTGTCGACGACTCACTCGACAGACATACCAGTGATGTCCTTGCGATGAAATAAAGTAAATTTCTTCGTCATAATGACGTCTTAACCATTGATAATATTTCATCAAATTAAATGTCTTCACCAACCGGTTTGATCGTTACATTAGATCACAAGAATTTATTTACCAATTTTTGCTGATATTTTAAACATTAATAGCCCGAAGCAATACATTCAATACGAGATCACATTTTGTCGCAAAACTTAATCATAAGTGTTGTTATGTATATATATGTTGTTTTTGTTATCCTTTTTCTTGTGATAAATAATTATAAAACTCTTACCAATTATATTAATATGTTGTTTTAATATTTAAACATATAAATCATATATTGAAACAATTATAATATATATAAACCCATTGTAATAAAACAATTTTTATTATATTAGATAATTAGTTGAAAACTAAATTTTTATTAATGGATGTAAAAATTGTGGCCAAAATCTATTTAAACATTTTATATTATTATACGTACTGTTACTATTTCTACTATTATAATTACTATTAGTAATTTAAATATTAATACATATTAGTGAAAATTTTATTAAGTATTTGGTGTTATTCATCAAAATAGTTGACAATTTATTTGATATTTATCTTAATAAATATGGAAATGAAAAAAGAAGTCAAACGACGACTTGAATGGTCAGTTAGTGTCTCAGAAAAGGCTAAATTGACAGTAAATCCGATCCGAAATGTCGTCGAAACCCTTAAACTGCAGCCAAATCCCGACAAACAATTTATACCACTTTCTATTGGTATTATAATTTTTATTTTGATAATTATCTAATTTTTTGTTAAATAACTACATTTTATTTTTTATTTATTAAATTTAGGCGATCCAACAATTTTTGGTAATTTAAATCCATGTGAAGAGACAATAAATGGATTGATAGAAAGCGTTAAATCAGCCAAAAATAACGGATATTTTGCGGCCGCCGGTTGTGAAGAGGCCAGGAATGCTGTGGCCGAGTATTGCTCAGTCATTGGAGCACAAGTAGAGGCTAAGGTATAGCCTAAATCTATTGGTGTTATGTATTAGAAAAGACCTAAAAATTTAGTGATTACTAAAAATTCATAGATTTTGACAGATAAGACCATTTCATTAGAAGGTCGATCAGTGCAGCACTTGTTGTAAATTAATTTCAATTCAATCCCAGTCCCAGTCCAACATACAATCCAAGGGCAAACCACCAATTTTTTCAACTATTTCTGACTTACATAAAAATTTATAAACTTTCCATTTATTAAGCTTAACATATAATTTGTGATGTTATGTATTAATGAGATATATTATATAATAGGAAACATCAATTTTTTAATTTATTCAAATTACAAATAATTATTGTGAAAATTTAAAAAATAGATAAATTAATTTTTATTTACAAGTTTACTTTGTTATTCTCAATAATGATTATATATATATTGAAATATAATTAAGTTATTGTATCAGAATATAAAACCGATTGGTTAGTAACAACTCATGTCTTTCCTCAAACACTTTTTATGATATAAAACGTGTTTTGAATTTATGTAATAAATAATTAGCACATATTTTATTATACTATATATATATATATAAAACTCAATTTATTATTTAAAATGTTTTTAATGATTCTTATTCACAATTAGGACGTGATTTTGACGAGTGGTTGTTCGCATGCACTCGACTTATGTATGACTGTATTGACAAATCCCGGTGCAAACATACTGGTGCCGCGGCCAGGATTTTCATTGTATGAGACATTGTCGGCACTAATTGACGTTGAAATAAGACATTATGAACTGTTGCCCGAAAGAAATTGGGAAATTGATTTGAATGACTTGGAGGACAAAATTGATTGCAAAACAGCTGCCATTGTATATAACAATCCTTCCAATCCTTGCGGTTCAGTATTTAGCAAAAAACACATTTTAGACTTTTTAGTCATCGCTGAAAAATATTTTGTGCCCATAATTGCCGATGAAATATATGAAGATCTAGTATTTCCTGGCAATCACTTCCATCCAATTGCATCACTTACTACTGAAATACCGGTGCTGTCATGTGGCGGAACTACCAAGAAGTTTGTTATGAATAATTACTATTTAATTATTAATTATTTAATTAAATTTACAATAAGATACTATTTTATCAAATTTAATTTATATTAATTGACAAAATTTATATTTATATTTAAAGATTTTTAATCCCTGGTTGGAGAATGGGATGGATTCTTATTCATGATAGACATTCCCGATTTGGATATGAGGTATGCTTTTGTAAAATTAGTTTACTATTTATATATTAATTACTGAATGTAATATTTTTAAATAAAAATAATTTGAAGATAAGACATGGTTTGAATGCATTGGCACAACGTTTGGTTGGACCTAATAGCGTAACTCAAGGAGCGTTGCCTTACATACTAAAGAATACTCCGAAAAGTTTTTTTGACTCAACCATTGAATTTCTTCACGTAATTGTGTTTATATTATTTTCGATATAAATTTATTTAATACCATATTTTAATTTATTATAATTATTTTGATTAAAGATAAATGCAACACTTGCTTATGATGTTTTAAGTCAAGTGCCGGGTCTACGACCTATTATGCCATCGGGTGCTATGTATATAATGGTAAGCGTCGATATGATATACTTTCCCGAGTTTGCGTCTGATCTGGAATTAGTTGAAAGACTTGTTAGTGAAGAATCAGTATTTTGTTTGCCGGGAAAGTGTTTCCAATATCCCGGATATGTTAGGATTGTTCTGTCGGTACCAACAGATCTGCTTAAAGAAGCGCTCAATAGAATCGACTATTTCTGTAGAAATCATTTTGTCCGCAGCAATGGTATCGATGGCTATGACAACGGTTTTAATTGATTACTTTAATACAGTATTTACGTATTTTTATTATTTTTTAATTGATTATGTGATTCAAGTGAATAATCAATCATGTATTTTTATGTTATATCAATGATATGTAAGTATAACATATCAATTATTTAGTTTGACTATAATTAATAATAATAATTGTGTAATCGAAATAACTATGGTTATCAAATGTTACAAATTATAATCAAATCAAATTAATGTTATCAACTGTTTTGCTTATGATTGAATAAATTTTTAATATTTTTAAACATTAATATCTTAAAATATAATTATATTTATTTGTTACAGTATTATTTTTATATGACATTTACTTATAAATAAAATTTAATAATTATTTTTTTTAGTTATTTGGGAAATATAAAATAAATTAAAATACAATAATATTTATAAAAATATTTGTTAAATTGAGAAAATAAATCTAAAATGTTAGTAATAACATTTAATTGTATAAACTAGAAAATGATTAAACTATTTTTTAAGTGATTTTATTTAAAGTTAATAAATTAAATACATTTTATTAAACTATGTTCTTAAAGTAATATTTGTTTAATAAAGTCTATGAGTTCACTAAAATTAAACAGTATTTACTAAAAAACATATTAAGTAATGAATTACTAATTATAGTTAATTATATTTTTATGTAAACACGTTCTGGCAATAAAATATTTATTTTAATTTATTTAAAAAAAATAAAGTTATGAGTCTATGACATCATTTTTAAATAAATAAAATTTTAAATTACAAGAATTGTTTTTGAAATATTTATTTAAAAAGTGCTGTACTTTTTCTATATTGTAATTGTCTTTCAAATATATATTAAAAATAATTTATAATGACTTAAACCATTAAATTAATATAATAAAAATAATTATTACTATTATTATAATTATTTAATTATACTGTACTTAATTATAAGTATATCAATAGTTAAAAATTGAATAACAATATACATGTATAATACAATTTAAAATTTATTTTAAATATCATCGTCGATATGAACGTCATTTAAAAGTATTTATTTTTATTATACTGTATGTCTAATCACTGTTGCTATAAATTAAATATATTATGTAAATTACAATGACTTTAAAATTATTTAAGTGTATAAATAACACAATATTATAATAATGTACTATTAATATAATTTTCGATATTTAAAATAAAACATAATATAAGCATTACATTTATTATATTATTGTATACTGTATTTTAATTATTAAATGTTTAAAATTATATAATATTAAGCATATTTGATAGATTTTTTTGTCTCAAATATAATATACATTTAAAATTATTTGTTAAAATATAGAACAATGTTATGTATTAATCAGTAATAAGTTTAATCAAGCTTTACATGAAATCAATTGTTATTATAATAAGAAATGTTTTCTATCTGTTATTCACATTAAATGAATGGAGGGATGAGTGGTTTTATAGGACTAGTTTTGTGGTCTATTATATGAACTACATGTCCAATGTTTAATGAAAACCCGTTGTTATAATATGAGTTGAAGCAAAACTCTTTTGTCTGCAATCACTGTAATCAATATAAAGACAGTCAAATAGTCAGACCTACTGTCGATTGAATAAATTTCAGTGATTAATGTGGTGTTTGTTATAGTATTGGTTTTTGTTGATATAGTTTAACAATGATATTAATAACAAGTTATAAAATGAATGTTATTAGTGGTGCATAAATCGCTTATAAAAGTAATGTCAAACAAACAAATATATATATATAATAATAATAATAATAATAATAATAATAATAATACTTTGTGGCCAAATGTATAGCTATTAAAGTACAGCTATTAGGATGTGAGACATTGGACATAGGGTTTGATTCAATGGGGAGACACACTATAACCAGTCGTTAACCAGTCATGAAATGATTAAAATTTCCGAAACGGTCAACATATAAAACATTAGGTCCGATGTCTACCCTTCTCATCACTAGTAGTCCCACTGAGTGATTACTCAATCACTGAATTCAATGACCAGACATTAAGAATCGGAACTACATATTCTCTCTCTCTCTCTCTCTCTCTCTCTCTCTCTTTCTTTCTATCTAACCGACCGTTTCGTGGTTATAGTAAGCCAACTGTGTTATGTGTTATATGCCTAAGCCATGCCATTTCTCAGTGGGAATCATAATATACTTGCCATTTATAATACACTTAATATTATGGCAAATGTGTAAACCATAAGACTGTTGTACATCAAAATGTTTACAATATTTTTGACATATCTTTCTTTTTCAGACATAATTGACAAACAATAAGTTGACGCATATTTGTGTTCAAACGTTTTTTTAAGATTAACAAAAAATATTTTATTTATTTCTTTTGTTTTATTAACAACATTAAGGCATAGGTTTAACTTAGAGCACTGATATAATTAATTTAGTTTTGTTTCAAAAAAAAACGTTATCATTTGTTTTATAGTTTGTTGTCATTCAATGATTAAGTAAATACAAAAAAGAGACAAAAAAAATGATTAATGATTTAAAAATATATAGTTTTTAATGATTATTACTATAATAACAGAATGAATTGTAATAAATTAATTTCATGTATAGTATAGTTAGTTTAGTATTTTGATTATGTTATATGTTGTACTATATTCAGCTTAAGATTCTTGATAAGTTACTAATATTATTTAAAATATAAAATTATTTATTTTAACATATTGAATTTATTATTAAAATTTTTAAAATTAATTTAGTAATCAATTAGTCATTAATATTTTAATCAACATAACAAAAAAAAACATTTATTGATATTTTTTTTTATTAATTAATAAAATTAATACAATATTTTTTAGTTCTGTATATACTGGTATGTGTAGTACACGTGCTTTACACCAATCATTGTATTTTTATGTTTATTAAGTTTTGTATGTTTTTTAAAAATTTTATATATTTATTATAATAGTTTAATAACATAGTGTTTATAATGATAATTTTAGCTTTCACTTGCAACAAATTTCTAAGCTAAACTATTAAAATAAAACAATATAATTACAATGTTATAAATATTACAAAAATATTCTATAATAATATTGTATATCATATATTAAAAATTGTTTAAATTTAAAATCAGGTACAAACATTAAACTATATTTATAATTTAAGCAAGTTATTTTTATGTTTTAATTGTAAAATAAACTAAAAAATAGAATTTTGAATTTTAATATAATAAGATTTTGCTAATATATTTGTTAAAATTTTTGTTGATGTTTTTGGATAAAACAATATTTATTGGTGCAATAACTCATTAAAACTTGTGTTTAAAATTAATGAATATATGATACAATTGTTTAAAAAGGCATTCATTATAATAAAATTCAGTTCAATTGTTAGTTTTATAGTAGTAGTTGTAAAGTAGTCATGAAATGTATGGTCAGTTCTATTACTTAAAGGGGTTAAAGTCAAAGGATTGAACCATAAATAGGTCGGCAGGTATTTGAAGGATAATAAATGCATTGTTTCCTAAATATGACAAAAATATTGAATTATTTTTAAATGCAAACTTAACAATATCACAATATCATAAATAATGTATAATTTTAAGAATATAACTAATATAAAACAATAAAAATAATTATTTCAAAAATTTCAAATTTTAAATCAATTATAAATAATGGATTATTTATCAAAAATCTACATATTGTAAACATAAAAAAGTTCAACAAACAAAAAATAAAAAATTATATTAATTTAAATTTTTAAATATAATAATCTGTTTTAAAAAATTATCTCAAAACTTTAAATTACACTTATTTTCAATTAAATTGACATTTTAAAAATCAATATTTGTTATATAAATAAAAAATTGTGATAATCATAAAATACATGTCATAATTGTCAATAAATATCTTTTTGATGAGCAGTCAAGCTATACATTGACAAACAAATCAATGACCACTCAGTGTTTTTTTTTTGGTGATAAAAACATAACTTTAAATTCCAAAAATAATTCAAAACATCACAAACTTATATTTGTTTTTACTTTTATTTTTGAATCCCAATGTATGAAAAAATATATGGTTTATATTTATATCAAACATTGTATTTGTTGTTTTCATAAGATTTTATTATCTGATTTTTTCTCAATTTTCGAGTAAATCTGTTTTCTTGTTTGACTTTACAATATAATGTTATATATGTGAAACAAAATGTTAACAAATAGTCTTCAATATAAAGAAAAAAATTGAAAAATATGTTTTCTTTACACATATTATCAAATATAGTTTACTATTTTTTTGTTACAAAATAAAATCATGTTTGAAGAGTTCAAATGATGTGAACATTTGTGATCAAAAAACATGATTGAAAAATGTCACAAATATTTTACAATTTGTTACGCTATCAGATATTATATGTGTTTTTGTTATAAAAAAAAACAGTTATATTGCAATTGGATATAGAGATAAACACATGTATACATGTATTACAATGTTATACAGTATTTAATATAATGGTAGCAAAAGTTATCAATGATATGGATTTCAAAAAGATATGTCTATTTTTCGATCATAACATAAATGCTTTATACGATATCTAGAAAAATGATCAAGGCAAACTGCATGTATTCTATTATATTTTATTGAATATAAAACATAGTAAATATCAAATGTATTTGTCGTGATATGAAACAAATTTGACTGAAATGCAACTAATTTTATGTCACCAATGATTGACAGCCGTGTAATAACGTGTTTGGGATGTGTTTAGTGAGTGAGACCAGAGCTCGGGATCAAAGTTTACACAAAATAGGGTCTCCTTTATGTTATATGATTGTCCTTTTGTTGAATATTGTGTGCATTTATTATTATTATATATACATATATTTTTTCTTAATACACAAAATAGGCATTCAATATGTCAAACATGCAGTGATACTTATATCTGAATATAAAAATCGGGTATTCTTTCAGAGCATTCAAATGTGTTTTTTATAATAACAATATAACAAATATATTTTGAACTTCAATGCATTTTTGATTTGCTTTAAGATTTTAAGAAAAAGCCATTGAAGAGTG